TGAAAATGTCTTAGAATGTACTTGGATTGCTTTCACCGTATAAATCATCCCAATTAATGTTTGATTCGAGGTTATATAACTTAGTTATATTTGCATAATTGATAATCCTACACGTTGTGACAGCAAGGGAATGCTTTGCGTCTATTCGTTTTTGTTGAGAAGGAAGAATGTAAAATATAGGTAAGTTATCACTGACTGGACAGAAAACAATTACAGAGATTGTTTTACTCGGTAGGTCACTTGTGATACATAAATCGATTATGATTGCACTATCCCAAGTTATTCTTCTTGGTGCAGTAATAACGTGACTCAATAGTATCAAGGAACTGTCGGCAGAGCGGATGCTAGCCCGAAAGATTAATATTGAAGTCCCCTATTGGTATGATTCGTAAATTCAGTGAGGTCACATTCTCGAAATGTTTAACTACGTAATTCATAACTTCAGATATTGACCCAAAAGGTGGCCGATATAGAGCAGCTACTATGGATCCTTCACGTATGGCAACAATTGATTCATAGTCTCTAGGTACATGTGAGTACTCCTGCATAACACTATACCCTATGGTATTACGAAAATACAATGAAAAGCCCTTCATTTTTTTGGTTGATCTGAATACCCCATCGCTCTTACAGCCGTCAAAACTAACCTGATCATTTGTATTAGAAACTCAAGTTTTCGCGTAAGTCAAGACGTCAAAACTGTAATTCAGAGAGTTTAAAAACATAGTAATGTCATCAAATTCATTTACAATACTCCTAGCATTCAAATCACAAAAAGAAAAATGTTTTTTTAAGAAACGATGCATTATCTTTCAAAAGCTTTTTAAATGTACCCTGGTCATAGTCCAAGGACTTGAATGTTGTGTCAGCCTTTTTACATTATTTTGCCGAGATCATCTTCGGATTCAATTTTAAGAGCGCGCTGGCCTTCCGCCTTTTGTACGAACACCATTTTGTCTTTCTGCCATATAAACGTGTACCCTTGTTCACGAGCCTTTGTCTTTGTCATCCACCGTAGATTTTTGTTGGAGGCCGTCAAATTATCGAAAAAACGGATATCTTAGGCCGCCCCACTTAGCCAGCCACTAATCACGCGTCATCTGTGACAGAGAGAGTACCAATATTACCAAAGTCTTTCCTGGCTTGGGCGGCAGCCTGTGTAGGCCAACCAGATCATTTTCTGTCAGTTCACTCAGATACAGTTTTTTTGCGATTTCATTTACTTTGCTTAGCAGATCGTCATTTTCGCTCTGTGGTAGTCCACGTATTTCTAAGTTCTGCCGTCGGGTATAGTGCTTCAGGCTGTTTACTTCTTGTTTTAATATCTTCACTTCCTCGGCGTTTCCCTGCGTTTCGACACTCGAAATTCGTTTTTTGATATGGGAGATCTCTTTAGACAGCTCCTTCATTGGCACAAGCACTAGGTCACACTTACCCGACAGTTCTTGAACTTTCTTTTCAATGTCAGATACAGTATCTTTCACCAAGATGAATACGAAATCGCCCAGTTTGTTGTTCATTTCAACCAGCAGTTTTCCGAAATCAGGACCGGCTCTCGTTTGTCTTTGCCCTGCGCCTGTGCTACCCGAGCTTTCGAAGTACGACACGTCGGACATCTCCAAGTTTTCTTTGCGTTTTCTCGCCTAGACTTAAACGTGCTTTCGCTGACACCTGAGCAAGCACCCAGGTAATAGGCATGCTCACAATCACAACATTTAGAAAACATGCCATCATCTGAAAACGACTCATTACAAAGCATGCACGAATCAGTTAAACAGTTCGCAGTTGGTCATTCAACACAGAACCTAATGCGGTTTCACAGAAGCAGCAGCAGCAGCGGCAGCGGCAAGAAAATGAGGAACATATACCATTTTGTTCTTAGCCCGAGACTGAGGCAGGAAAAGAGGAAAGTTTCAAAGTAGAAGAAAAATGAACAGTCGAGGACACGTCTCTACGTGTCGTGTCCTCGACTGTTCATTTTTCTTCTACTTTGAAACTTTTCTCTTTTCCTGCCTCAGTCTCGGGCTAAGAACAAAATGGTTAACATCCACCAGCTCGCCTGCGCAATCACTACATTAACATATACCAGTATGATCATATAAATGTATTTCACCAACCTGAAAAATGCAACGACGAGGTTTAACGGACGCTCTATCATCATAAGCATCATATGTTGACACATGGCAGGTGACGTTCAGCGTCTATGCTAGTGCATTCCTTTAGACGTCTAGAATTTAAATGGCTAGATTGCTTATATTTTGTGCAAAATATTTGTGGAATCTCCACAAGGGTGAACAGAAAAAGTAATCCTGAGAAATTCATAATTTAAAGAACGAGCCACAAATGTAGCAAAAATAAAATGTTTACAATTCCCCATGACGCAGGATTAGAGCGCAGCTCTTGAGGAGGAGGATGGAAGCGTACTGAAGGATAGGTGACTCCTTGAGGTCACGTGACCTCAGGGGGGTCGTGTGACGTCAGGCGTCTCACATAACCTCAGGGGCGGTTCACGTGACCTCAGGGGGGGTCACGTGACCTCACGGGGTCACGTGACCTAGGGGTCACGTCACTGTGACCTTGGAGGTCACGTGACCTGGGGGTTATGGGATCTGGAGGTCACGTGACCTGTGGGGGGTCACGTGACCTCGCGGTTATGCCGACGGCGACGGCGAAGCCGACGCCGCTCAAGCCGGAAACGGGCCTCAAGAGCTGCGCTCTAAAACACAATCACAAGGCTGCCGCTTACGTCTCTGTTTTGTGAGATTTTTTTAAAGGTGGAAAATAACTGGTAACAAGAGACTACAGAAACAAAGGCTGCTCCCGCCAGAAAGCAGTCGTGTACACGTTAACGAAAACAGTGATTGATTGTAATTTTAATTACACCCGGTCAAAAAGTAATCTGTTAGTGCTTGATAACTCAACAATGAGAATAATTAGAGTTCAAAATACAAATTTAACGTGTTCCATTCATTTTCCAAGTCACGTGATTATTGGCGAATGCACGATTAGGAAAAGTGACTCGAAATGTTCTAAATTAAAGAAGTCAAACTCATATACCTCTCCCTTTCAAGCGCGAGTGGACAACTTCGGTGGGTTTTCGTGTATTCGTATTATGAACCAGCGGCTCATATCGCAACTGCAATTGCGTAGCTTTATCCCAGTTTTTTTTTATGAAAGTTTAACCGGAATACAAATAAAATCTAGACCGTTGACTATTGAACGCGACGATACAGTCGCTCTAAATTATTTTAGTGCGTTCTGGATTGGAGGATACTACAAACAAGCGCATTTCATAAAAAGAGAATCGCAACGCGACAGAACTGTTTCGTTAAATTTTTTGAATGGGAATAAGGCTTGAGTATACTTCAGACCAGACTATTTAAAATTTTGTGATCAGTTCCTAACAAAAAAAAAAAAAAAAAAAAAGACAAGCCTTAGCCTTGGTTTCCTTCCGCATTCCTGTTTGTGCTGTGTTCTGCACCAAAATAACGAGAAAGTATGTGGGGGAGTACAGCGCTAATAAAAATGATATACAAAATAATAAGTATATTCAGCACGAACCACTTTCGTCTAAAAACCAGAGCGTTGGCTCCAGAAAACTAGAGAGAAACGGGATATCCTTGCGGGGTAATGCGAGTTTCAACATTTGTGCAACGATTCGAAAATGAACATGCAATTGAAGAGGGACCAACGACGGAGCTAGGTCAGTTTTTTCCACGTGAATTCAGCTTCTGCCTTGAACCACACACGGGACGGTGTGGACACGTTATGCACACCATCATTATAAGAAAGTCGCATATGCGTCCATAAGAGTTGATTCTTTCTTTGTGCGCTCTTTTAAAGTAAACGTTAACATCGTATTCCTAGTGTGACAGGTAACTTTGATCCCTTCTTGGATTTCCGTGTGGCATACATAATTGTGGGGAAGGAGTGGGTTTGTACTCTAAATGCCCGGGCAGATTTTTTCTCTTCTTAGGGGGGGGGGGGGGGGGGGGGGGAGGGCCGGTTAAGGAGAAATAAAGGAGAAACCTGTAGCCCAACAACTTCCCTCTTCCCCCCGCATCCCCCAAAATATATAGAAGAAAGCGTGTACAGCGAAAGTATAGTTATCCGGAGAGGAAAAAAAGGCATCTACACAAAATGTGTTTCTTCATCACCTTTGAACCTGGAGCATCGCCTCCATAATCAGAGCGCGGTCTCTCCTTTGCAGATATCAATACGAGATACATGTAATAACTGAAATGCTTTGCAACTACGGGGTTATTTATCCAAGTTGCCGCGTTATCAATTGTGGCCCTTATTTCTTTCATATTAAGAAAATAGATGCTAATTGAAAGAAAATTAAACCTTGGGATTAAATGTTTCTTTAGAGCATATCAGAAGTAATTGATTGAAGTAAACACCAGAGAGTAAAACAAACAAACAAGAAAACAATTGAAGTATCAAGATCTGGTTTTAATAAAAATTCGGAAATAAAGTACAGGAAAGCCTAAAGATTGCAGTCTGCGTTTCTCTAAAATGTGTAGAATATCTTCTTCCCGAAACCACATTTCTTAGCAAAATACTGAATGCCGCTATGCAACTTCACTGTCCGTTTCTTTCCGGGTCCTTGTTTGCTTAGAAAAATCAATAAAACGCGCTTTTGCTCTATACTTAGTGTTTGTTAAGTCTAAAAGAGACGCACACAAACACACATAGTGGTAAAAACGAAGTCACGGCGGCGGCGCACTTTCTACCTTTACTTTCATATGCCAGTGATATCACACTCACACACCCACAATAAACACGGTCAGAGCCATGACATTGTGCTTTCGGAGCTGCTTGATGGGTGCCGTGGGCGCTTAGAGTTCGCTGAGCTCCGGCTTATAATAAAACTAAATATTCGCGACCCCAGCGGCGTGCATTTTATCCCATTCGTCCCTCCGGGTTTCTCGGTTTCCCATTTTTGCCGCCAGGCTGTGCCAGCTTCCGATCCATAGTTGGATAGATTGTAGCTCTCCGCTTTCCTCCTTTAGGTCTTTCCGCTGGGTGGCGTCGCCTCCTCCTGGGTTGCGAATAGCTTCACAGTTGTTAAAAGAAGTTCAGTTTTTTCGCCTTTCATATTTCTTTGTAATATTGCTTCGCCTATGCGCCGCTCCTTCGGTTCCCGTGACTCGTTTACGAACCGTGAAAACGGCAGCATGGAGTTCTGAAGGGAAGGAACATCCACGCGGCTAAATGCAGCAACAGGACATCCCCATTACCCCGAGGGGGGCTGGGGCCTTCTGCCCTTTCTCAAGACGGCCTATAAACAAGCCGCCCCGCCCACAAATACCGAAGTCGAAGAGCAGCACAGCACGCGCGACGCGTGACGGGGCGTTGTCCTCGAACCTCGGAAGCCTCTGAGAAAAGTTGGTAAGTCAACAAGACTTTGTTATGCCATTTTTACAATTTTGCTTTGTGTAATTCACCTATTTCGGATTTGCGATTTTAGACATGTTGAATGACGCTCGTCAAAATGTCTGTGATTGTCTTTGAAAGGTTGCATCCGCTCTATCTTCCACCAGCAAAGCACCGTTCTCAACATGAAGTTAAATTTTATATGTATGTATTTTATTTTCTTTTGGGGGGGGGGGGGAGGGGCATAGCAGTATTTTTATTACTATTGTTATACAATTTTAGACGTGGTGCGATCTCAGTGATAAGAAGAAACAATATGGCTAAAAACGACATTCGAATCGCCTTTGGACGTACAATACACAAGCAAAATTGTTTGCTTTTTCATGGCGGCTTCCTTCAAAACCTTTTCGAGATTGGAGAAAAAAAAAAACTTTTATTCCTTTTATGTATACCTGCAAATTTAGAGGAATTGGTTTTATCGCTCGACGAGAGAGTACAAGAGTGAGCCCTGACTTTCGGCCGAGGAAAAAGCCTTAGCCTGACTTTGCGCTTTTCCGCTGGTATCCGGTCTGCGCCGCCCGATATCCAAGAGGTCCACGAGTGGCCACCGACCTAACTCTGAGATTGTTGATTTGTTTTATTGTTTGATTTCATTTCTTTTATTTTGTCCGCATCTACATTTCCTTTACGCTTGACACATTTTTCACGTGTATCGCAGGTGTACAGAAGCACCACCATGCTACCTTGCAGTTTGATGTGTGCCCTTCTCTGGTTGACGCTCGATACAACCGCGGCTCAGTGAGTACTTCCGTAAAATTCCGCGCTTTTGTATTATTTAATGGAATAACATGTACATGCAAATGTTGTTCCGCTAACGTTTTGTTTGTTTGGACACTACACCTTCGGGTTACTAAATATATTTCCAGAATGCATTTTAAACTCGACACTTACTAGCCCATTTTCAAAAGTGCGCGCCATGCTGCAACAGCTGCGGCAATATTTTGAGGTCGCCTTATTTGGAACGTACACTCTGAGCGTATCCTTTTTCCTCTGCTTTTACACCTCAAGCGATCTAAGCAAACGTCTTCCACTACTACTATTAGCGTGTATTGAATACGAGCGGTGCATCAGCGTCTTACGTGTATACTCAGCCTCAACGGCATTCTGCACTGGTGCTGAGTGTGCTTTTACGCGTATTCTGGACTCGGCCAAGCAATGATCAAATAAGTGCAGCAGCAAATTTTGCTTAAATATATTTGCAAGGCGTCCATTCTCACTGAAGTGACAACAAAAGGGATTGTAACTTAGGTCTATTTGTTACGATATAATAGGAATTAATTTTTGGGACTATGCGGGTTCGCCAGTTGGATCACTAACAACTATTGCGTGACGTAACATAAAAAGTGGAAACATAGTTTGCGTTGTCTCACGTATTTGTTTTGGAGTTTTTTGTGTGCCTGACCATTTCGTTGTTTCTCTGAAGTTTATAAACAAAACACAAAAAAATTGGTAGCTTGGTAGCTGAGGAGAGAATAAATTCCGGAAATTTAATTCGTGATTTCGTGCGGTAACTGCGCCAATGGGCTTTCTCTTTTCACTAGAAACCTTCGCAAAACTAGATAAGCCTAAACAAAACATGTTGCTATTTCAGTAGGAACACATTGCAAATGTTTCACTATCAACATGAATTTTTCATTTGTGGTTTTACTGCAGCTGGTAAGACACAAAACATACACAGCTAGCGGCATGACCCCCCTTTCCCCCCCCCCCCCCCCCCAAAGCTCCCCCTAAAATAAAAACAGATATAAAGCAGATCGTTTTGGGAGTTGGGTTAATTTTTCAAACCAAGCGACCTCACGACTGTCGCATTAGTAAAACTGAGTTTATGAGCTTGTTTCTAAAAGCGATTTATTTGTGACATATTTTATTCGAGTAACGATTTAGGGTAAGGATGTCTTCTAAATGATTGTCGCAGTCAACAGGCATTTTATTTTTTTAATCTCATAGGACGTCAGCTTCATCAAACATGGAAACTAGAATTTTAAACAGTATATTGGACAGTGGTCGTTATGACAGCAGGGTTCAACCGGATGGAACGAACACGACTGAAGGTGAGTGGTGACGCACTTTCGGAACGTTTATACCTCAATGTGGATAGGTAGACATTTAGGTTTATTAAATGAGATTCGAATTTTAAGTAAATTGAAGTTCTCGACGTAACCTCAGATATTCAAATGAGCCATGTACTTTCGTGCATTTAATGTTTTGCTTTATGTGTACGGAAACGATCGATGCTGATATAAAACAGGAGATCCCAAATTATTTTGAGTCTTCTTCAGATCTTATAATAACCCCATAGTCTATTTTTACGACAAAGAGGTGCTGCCTGCCGACATAACTTTGGGTAAAAATAAATAGAGTACAGTTTTCCGAAGAGTGCAATACGAGAACGTAGGATGAATTGCCTTCGCACATACAGTAAACGATCAGTTTTTATTAGGGCCTCATTTTTCTAATTGCGCTACCTAAAAAGTAGTAAAACAATTACGCTAATATATCACCTCATAGGTAATACATAGCATATAACTGTAAACGGCGAACTTTTGTGCCCGCCAATTATTTCCAAATTCCAACATGCAAAATTCTCGAAAAATTTAGCATGAAACTATAAAATAAATTGATGTACGTTTACAGCAGATGCTAAAATCTACAGGTTGTTACAATAATGACGGTGCTCATTGACAATTAAATGCAAAATTGACTGACTAAATATGACTTGGCAATCAGTTATCATTTAGCTTTAACTAAAAGGAATGAAAATCAACATAACAAGCGTGACCGTAAACAACGTATATGGAACGTTCACAGAATACGTTTATCTGAGAAACAACAACACAAAAGTAAAATGTTTTTCAACATTACTTCACCTCACTGTTTCAAATGTGCATATCCATCAACTGTACGCATAAAAAACACACACACGAACAAACACACACACACACACACAATCTATGTCAGGAATAGAGCCGTTGACTCGTCCACCGTGTATGGAGGTTATATTTAGGCACGTATTTTGTGTTGCTTTGTGTTGATCTTTGATTTGCTATGTCTCATTATCCGTCTAGAGATTGTGAGGATAGCACCAGATACAGCGTCAGCGTCTCGCTAAATATAATAAAGTTTTATATTCCTGTATTTAAATTGTTTTCTTGCACACGTCCGGTGCGAGTCTCTAATGGAAGAAATGTTGCATTAAAGAAAGAGAAAAAGAAAATGATTTATTTAATTATTGTTTATTTCCGCTTTAATATAGGTAATATTATTTTGTTTGCGGAATCGGGGAACCTGACATAAAAGAGCGCAAAAATGTTGCCGATTTCCGATGTTTGCCTAATTTTCCAGGTCACGGCTCGCCCACCTTCGTACGTTTTTTTTTTTTTTTTGGTCAAGTCTCATTCTTATCAGAAACAATTTTTATGTTCAGGAAACCACGAAGTCCTTTTCCAGAGTTAATAATCAATTCAGTGTCCTCAAAAACGTCTTCAACATTTTTTTTTAGCTCTGCATAAGAAATACGCTTCTGTTGGAGTGTATTTCTTATTGAGGTTTTTGTTAAATATATTCTCGTTATGTAATAATATATGCGCCAGTCTTTGTTAAATCAAATTTAACCATGATGAGTTTCACCCGACGCTGGGTAAAAATGAGGATGCTTTGTTTTTACAGTGGCAGAGGAAGTAAGAGGGACAGATGACGTCTCTAGAGGCGCCTTCTGTCCCTGGTACTTTCTGTTCCATTGTAGAAAAAAAAAAGAAACTTTCTTTTGCCTTTGTCTCGGGTTAAAATTATCATGGTAAACTTCCACCAGCTCGCCTGTGCACTGACTGAAATTTAGCTAGTAAGACTGTCTACATTAATCACATTTGTTGTTCCCTTCAAGGTCCTGTTCAAGTTGACGTTGACATGTTCGTGCTTTCCCTCCGTGATGTGTCATTCATGAACATGGTACGAATGTCTCTCCTCAACTATCCTTCATTATTACCTAAATCACTCGTGCCCCCTTCCCCGTCCCAATAAAGCTATTGTTCGCATTAAAATATAACTGCTCCTAATAAGTAAAAGTTACAGAGGACAATATTGCGCATAACACTTTCTCAGAAGTATTTAAAATCCTTCCCTGTATGTAGATTACTTTGTAACTATCTGTGTTAGATCGAAGTAATATTTTAGATTTTGTTTCTCCAACAGCACATATTTGCTCGCATCAGACCAAACAGCTGGGATGGTAATCACAAAACAGTCCTACAATTTTTTTCTTTTCACTGGGATGCACAAAGTGATAATGGTTATAGTTCTTGCACGTAATCGAGGGAGGATGCCAAATCGCGCTTTATGCAGATGAGTGATATTCCCCTTTTCCTGCAGGATTACACAGTTCAAGTGTACTTACGGACAAGATGGAAAGATTCTCGGCTGAGATATGATAATCAGCCTGGGAAAGTGAAATACCTTAATTTGAACGATCCTTCAAAAGTTTGGAGACCCGACCTATTTATTCCGAATGAAAAAGAAGCCAATTTTCACAAACTCTTGCTCCCAAACACGTTTCTACGTATTTACCCCCAGGGAAATGTCCACTACAGCGTGAGGTGAGTCTGAAAGCTCGAGCTTGAAACTTTCGTTCCCCCTTGAGGTATCCAGCATGGAGTACAGGGACCCTAGGCCACACGGCGGGGCCAAGCGGGACCAAGGGATCGCGATATCGCCACCTGCTGCGATTGGTCAGCTGCACGGCACTCACCAACCGCAACAAATTCAAATTCAAATTCTTTACTTATATATTTCCGTTCGAAGAAGGGAGACAGAAAAAAAAAACTGTTGATGCTTGACGAGGCTCTGCCTCTCCGCAGCTGCAGAGAGCACAGCATACGCAATAGGACAGCATACGCATATACGCAATATTTTATAATAATACTTACGACACAAAAAATAAAAAGAAACAGGTGGTAGGGATGAAAACGGTAATCAATTGGACTCAGATTTTCAAGATTCACAAATCCTACGGACACTCCCTCAAAAACATTGAACAAACACTTTGCTGGGACTCGCAGAACACTTGTAGACTCAGTTCAATCGAACAACTAAAAAAAAAAAAAAAAAAAAAAAAAAAAAAACGGAGCACTGTGAGTTTAATGAAATGATTACCATACTTCATGCTTGAGTGTGGCACTTTTTACGTGTCTACACAGTGAGTCCCGTACGCAACCTCCATCAATCTAAGGTTGGAAGTTGATTTGAATGCATCTTCATCTTGCCCAGGTGACTTTTTAATGCAAGAAGAGTTTTATATTAATACTGATTTGTAATTTGTTCACTATTCAATTTATTAAATAATAGACTGGTATGGGTATTGTACGTAGAATTACGTACCTTGCGAATAGCCGTTTTTGTAGAATATGCATTAGTTTAATTATATGGCGGTCGTATACCCCCGTACTATAAAGTACAGGACATCGCAAGCGGCGATGTCCCGGTTCCTTGGTCCCTTTCGACAAAAGCGCCACGAGACAAGAACAGAAAATAAGAAACATAAATGCTGTCCTTGTTTTGTGGCGCTTTTCTCAAAAGGAACGATGGACCAACTAGCCCATCTCTCACTAACTATGCAATTTATTCCTTGGTCCCTTCTTAGTCGCGCCGCATAGTATCAGGGCCCAGAACGTGCCCAAACACCCCTGAGATGAAATAAAAAAAAAAAAAAAAGCTTTCCGATTGTTTAACTGAAAGTCGACGTTGCGCTACCTGTAATAAACAAGAAGGCTTGTCCTTTTTCGTTCTGTTTTTGTTCTAGTTGTTGAGTGCTGCGGTTTTTTCGTTTTTTTTTCAATATTCTACTTTGTCTTACTTTATTTTGTACAGGTTGACCTTAAAGCTCGCTTGTTTGATGGACTTCGCAAGATTTCCGTTTGACACACAAGTCTGTAAGATAATGATGACAAGCTGTGAGTACTCCTCAAGTTGAATTAAGAAAAGTGATCACACATTGAATTCAGATTTTAATGTAAGCTATTTAATTTAGAACTTTAAAGGTATTAAAAAGCTATACACGGCGTCATCATTTTAAACACCTTTTAAATTGATTTCGCCTTGAATCCTAACTGGCGTCAATACTGCAATTACAACATGACCCCTCAAACTAATATTTAAATTTTTAATGACAAATTTACGTCATATCCGACTTACCGTAGCAATTACCTCTCTTATTCAGTCCTCCTGGCTGTATAACTCGCCTGCAGAAACAGCTTTAGTTCAGCCTTCACGGCATTTTTTGTTTAAATCGATTCAGGCTAAAAATTTACCCTATTTGTTCAAATTGAGAAAGTGAGTAGCCGCAACGGTGCAACTCTGTTGTGCGTGATCCGGCCTTTAAGAATAATGTGTGAAATTTTCGAATTGATATATTTTTCTAAATGGGATTAGACACAAAAATAGATAAAATCGTGCTAGATTTGCCATTTCTTTAATTCTTATTGTATTTATTTTTCTGCTTTTAAATACTTCTAAGATTTTTTTTTTGTTTTGTTTTTGTAGGGTAAATGCTGTAACACATTTTGTATCAGAGAATTTAAGTAGACTTCCTCCCAAGCGCTGCCAATACGAATTGTTTCTGGCCTGAAGACTTTAGCGCTGTCAGAAAAAATAAAAATAAACACTTTGAGAGTGTAATTAGATTTTGTCGTCATATAGGCTGCCTAAAGTGTTCGCTCTTCTCTCCTTAGCTATATCAGGTTGAAATAATTTACCTTCCAGCTGCACTCAGTCTGAATCATTGGAATGTTTCTTGAACCAGCTGACCACCTTTAGACAACATACTTTAATCAATCTAGAGCGAATTGTTGAGCGAGTTGGTGTTAAATTTAAGAATACCTGGTAGTGCTCGAACAGAAGGACAAAAGGAGAAAAAATAGACGAAATAACAGTTAGAGCGCGGCCGAGCTGGTGTAGCATTACCGTTTCTTTAAATTACCCGAGACTGGGGCGAGAAAGCTATGAAGCATCAAAACGTGGAAGAGAAAGTCAAAGTGATAGGAAGACAACGTCTCGAAACGTTGTCTTCCAATCACTTTGCCTTTCTCTCCCACGTTTTGATGCTTCATAGGTTTCTAGCCCCAGTATCGGGTAATTCAAAGAAATGAGAATTGGACACCACTGTACGATAACATTAAACTCTTTATTTAATAAAAGATGATAAATTGCGCCATCGCACTACTCTCAGGCAATCCTTTGCCTTACCACCTCTTGCAAGGACGCGATTTTTTTATCTGCAAGATTAATAGAGGCTACACTGTGACGTATGCTGTGTTGCATCTTTTGGATATGTCAGCTTCAATAATCCCCATTTCGGTCTTACCTTTACGTTTGGCTAGAGCAGTACACTTTGTGGACAAGGGAGCGCACCAACAATCGTGGCATTAAACTGAAAGATGGTCATCCCGCTAGTTATTTACATTTAAATTGTGTTCACTTAATCAGTTATTTAGGCATATGCCCGTTTTTACAGCGTATTGCTTTCCACATGACCACATAATGTGGCCGACGACACACTCCGCACGAGCAACAAGCGATCTCCTGTTCTCTTCTGAGCAACCCAACGAGGCTCTGCGGGGAGGGTCCGCCCCTTTACGCAGCTTGACTATACTTCGTTTCACGTTAAGTCAAATCGCAGCCGACGCTACCAGCTGATGCGATCAATCAGACAGCGTTAAAAGCGCACCATCATGGTGTTCATCTTTTTTTGTGCGTGTTACATCATTGCTGAACCAGTCATAAAAAGGAAAGGCCCCGTGACTTGGGGTTTTCACGCTGCTTGATTGGTCCATTGGCTAGCAGCGCCGGCAGCCTCTCGAGTAGATCTTCACTGGTGCACGAAAAACAACTTTAGTGCTGACACAATTCAATATTTTTATACAGTGTGTGAGGTTTTGTGCATGTACGGTACACAAGATAGCAGCTGTCTGGTACATGCACAAGACCGCGAAACGTCTTAAGAAAATACCGAACAGTGTAAACGCTAAAGTTGCTTTTAGTGTACCAGACCAGTTTCTCAAGTTGTGTAAACGGAAATCTGCAGAGCCTCATCGGTTTGCTCGAATAAGCGCAGTAGCCCGTTTGCTGCTTGTGCGATGGGGATCGTCTATTAAATTCCGTTATCACGTAGAAAGTAATACGTTGGACAAACAGTCGGATGCCTATATGACAGATTACGTGAACACAATCTAATCCTAAACAACTATTGGGATGGCCATTTTTTTGTTGATTGCTTAGTTCACCATGTCTGCTGTTATAGGCAGGCATAAAAATAAGGCCGTTAGGAAAATTATTTAAACTTACATAATCAAAGGATCCGACGCAGCATGTGCGACCGTTGCCTCAATTAAGCTTGCAGATAAACAAATCGCGTCCTTGAAGGCTGTGGTGTGGCATCGGTTTGGCCGAGAGTGGTGCGATGGCGCAATTTATCGTCTTTTGCCGTGAATAAACAATCGAAAGTATAAGTGCGATATGGTATCCAGTTCTTCTTTTTTCCTCGTCTTCGAGCTCCTGACTTTGTTCTTGTCATTAGACTTAATATAGTGTATTTTTAGATAAAAAGGAAATAACTCTAAATGCAATTAACCAACTTAAATAAATAAGTTGGCAATTCCCACGGCACCGATTTTTTTTTTTTTTGATAACTAGTTTTTGGTCGGAGGAAGTATCTGACCTTCTTTTAAGGAAACATTTTAACAGAGGAACCTCCTTAACAAGATGCAGTTACAGTCACATTCTACTAAAACTGTTAATAGTAAATAGTTTTTCTGGTGCTAAATGAAGAAGGTCAGCGCATGATTCATATAAAGTGCCCCCCCCCCCCCCCGCTTTGTCATCAGCGACATGGCAGTAAGCAATGTTTTCTTAGCATTAACACTCTGACAAAACTGTTGCACTAAAAAAATGGGTTGTCTCAGACATTTCTTTAGAAAAATTGGTTTGATAAATTTCAAGAACTAGATAAATCACCATTAAAATATATGAGCTTCTCGTTAAATTTCAAATTAACATTACATTTCATAGAACTTGAGATATTGCTGGGTTATCATTTATTGTGAATATACATTGTATCATTCGAGACTTTTGGAGCCACCGGCATCCGAAAAATATATTTGATAAAAACGACGTGAATGTTGCATGGTTATTCCCATATGCTTTTCCCAACGCATTCACAAGCATGTTCATAGTATGGCCATGGTATCCCGAATGACGCACTTAGTTTAATTTAAAGCAAGCAGGTAAATCTGGCCAGCTGATATTATGATTTATAATTTTCTTTTTGAAACAGACTGAAGTGCCACAATTAAAAAAAAATAGGAAAATAATATTATCAACAACTTTTTCTGCTAAGCTGCAAAACATAGTTGATTTCATTTTATTCCCTTTGTTGTGCGAAGATTCCCGTACTACGGATGCATTGGTCTTCGAGTGGAAAAGGGGTGATCCACTCGTAGTAAACAAAGAATTGTACTTGTTGGAGCATAAGCTGATCGAGTCCAAGACAGGCTACTGCAACAGCAAAACAAACACAGGTAAGCGTAGTTTTCTAGAGTGTTAGTAGAACTTAAGCATTCAGGTTTTACAAAACATGCTGCGGCGTGTAGGCGCGTGACTCACAGAGGAAACAAACCAGCGACGGTTTAAAACCTCCCAATGCGCAACTAAGTTAGAAAGGTGCCAATGTATATAGTGATTGGGTCGAACGGCGAGAGCTTGGCAGTTCGATGAAGACTTAGTTTGTATCAGTCCTTTGTGGAAAACAATTACACATACGCTAAACAATAAGAACTAGCAATAGTTGATTTACTGAGTGCTTACTTTCTTTAAATGTCTAGTGTATAACAAGGTATACGGTCGTACATTTAGTTTAGCTTTACATTAGTTCAAGCGAAGCACCCCGTTTTTTTTTTTATTTCTTGTGGAGCTGATGTCCCTTGGTTGTTCTTTGAACATTTTTTCCAGCATTCTACATACACGGCTGACATGGATTGGACAGTTATGCAAACAAACGCTTGAAAAGCACGTGCTCCGCTTTTTATTTCTTTTAAATTGCTTAGGCACCTAAAAGGGGCCTCGCAACGATTTTGTATTTTTAATACGCTTAGAATTACCTTTTGGTATTCATAACCTAAGAAATACGCAACGGCAGACGTAGGAACAATTAGAAGAAAAAAAAAACGAACAGCGTTCACCTCCTCAACCCGCAGTCAGAACAAGCGATCTGATGACTATCATATACATGCTACCATTGATCATCGTAGCCACGCGTCGAGGTTGGCAAAGCACATTGCACGGACGGAGCCCTATACCATGTTATAATTTGACTTTGCAGCGATTGAACACGATCTAGTACCCGTAGGTTAGCCGAATAACTAATTGACCCGAGCCGTACTTCTGAGATCACGGGGAGTTCGTGTCACATCCATGCAAAGCGTTCGACAATCGCCACTAAGGGGCAATATGTTAGACTATATATCAGCATTAAGATTTTTGTGATTACTGCGTCAAACATTTTATTGAAGAGAACAAAGGGAAATAAGTCTAATTTTTTCTTGAAAATAAATCGCAAGAAAAAACTTCTGGGTCAATGTCATTGCGTACTTGTATACTTGGGTCATGCTAGTGCCAATATGCTTGCATAAAGTGAGAAAAAGTTAAAGTCAATAACATTGCACGGCCCCTTTAATGTATGTATTTTGGGACGTGTTACTAATTTGTACTTTCCTGTTTCGTTGCTAGCATGAAATAAAGCTTCGCCCAGCACAAGTTCTTAACTTGAGCCCGTATTTTGCCGCCGTTTCGTACGGAGAAATTGTTTAATTTTGTTTGTGATTGTGTTACGCCGCAATTGTTTACAACACAAAAGTAAGCCATCCTTTAAACAAGGACACCGAGGCGCATTAACTATTAACTAATTTAACTGTGCGACAGAATTAGCTTTATAATATATTGAGAGGCAGGTGGGTACTTGGAAGTTTCGTCTTCGAGGTTGATATAAGCTCTAAGCTTTGCTATCTTTAATATCAATTTGGATACTCACATCAAGTGACTACCGTTTCAAGAAGGTTAATTTTCAGCACCATTTTTGTCCTTCTCATAAGAATGTTTTGGGACTCTAGCCTTTAAGTATTTAGAATAAATATTTTACTTAAATTAGCTGTGTTCCCCTAATGAAACATATAAAGACGCTGATGGTACAGCTGTGGCTACGGTTATGCACATCATCAAAAACACAGCCTGTTGAATCTTCAAAATTGAAAAATACGAAGACGAAATCGAAGAAACTCACAGCACGAGTCATTCATTCCAATCATGAATCAATCACTATAAAACCCTCACCAGGAACAGTCGTTCTGTGTGATTTCTCTGTGACCTGTCGGTAGACCCGGGTATTGTTTAAGAGAAATAAATGTGTCTCCGTAGTTTATGCGTTGGTAGACGCCATTATAATGTTGCTTAATTATTCAATTTAAAGTGAAATTTATAGCCTGCGCTGAAGTTGTCAAGCATTGTTAGCAGCTCAGACAGCGCTATTCTTAAAGTTGCTGCACGGATAGGTATGCTCTCTGTCATTTCTATCCCTGACCATTCAAAAAGAACGGTGCTGCTTGTTTCGCTATTGATGTTGAAGTTAATGACCATAATCTGGCAATTCACCAGAGGAACGTAACTGCTACCCTGCAAGCTCAACTCTAATAAAAGCCTTTTGTTTCCACATCAGGAGAATATTCATGCCTGAAAGGCGGATTCGTGCTCCAGAGAGATGTCAGAAGATACGGCATTCTGGTGTTCATCCCCTGCTGTATGTGTGTGATCGTTTCTTGGGTCGCTCTTTGGCTAGACAACAAATCCACGCTGATTCGCGTGCTGGTTCCGCTGGTGGACTTGGTGTCCCTGTCCAGCCTCGTGAGCAAACTCAACTATAGCGACATCCCAAAGACAAATTTCACGATGCCCATCGACACCTGGACCGGCGTTTGCCTGACCTTTGTGTTCATCGTCTTAATTGAGGTAGCTGTCGTTGACTACCTGGTTCGCAGGAGCGGGAACCGCCACGAACCAGTTTCAGCGAAGCCTGATGAGGATAAGATGAGTGGTGTCGAGCGTCTTGAAATGGTAAGTGGGCGTTTTTTTATTTATAATGGCATAACGTGGCGAATATCGATCCAGTTTGACCATAAGCAAATGTTACGACTAACCGTTGCCAGTTACGTTTTTTCTACGCTAGACATAAAAAAATAGTGCGACTTGAATAAATATTATAATAATTTCCAATGTAGCATAGTTGTTGAGGCTCGATGTTGTTTTTTGTCCTACAATTTAGGACCCAGAAAGCACTAAGAAGCCAATGCTTCTTAGGGCTTTCTGTGACTGTCGGATGGTAAGCATAGGTTTTTAAAAGTAAGGTGCCGTTCAATCCGACCAAGAAGCTTGGTACTTCTTGGTCAGAGTCTAACTGTCTTGGGCCTTGATTGACAAAAAAAAAACAAAAGAAAAAAAAAACTTCGAATTAGGTTTTAGTGCTGGTTCGGGCGTCACCTGGCATCTTTGGTTCGTGTATTGCACTTTGGCTCTCATGTGACAAACCAAAGAAAAGCTAGACTTTAGTATTTCTCTGCCTAGGTAAGGTTAATAAAAAAGTATTGTTACATATTTTAATTTGCTAGGTGACGTGCATGAGCAGATTAAAACATATTAGAAGTTTCCGCCACGTGCCGTTTGCAAGCGCATCGTCGTCGCCCTCCGTGTGTCCGCGGGGTCGCGCATCGGCCGCACCGCTACACAATCCCCTCTCTATTTTTTGACAGCCATAGCTGTTATGGGCTCTTTACACCACTGACAATGACGTCCGTTGTTGATGTCGTAGTTGTTGATGTTGTAATTAGCGTAGTAGGGCGTAGAGCGTCCGTCGTGGATGTTGCCAAATCCTCAAAAAAAGATCGCCCTCCACCCACGGGATTCGAACCTGGATTCGCTGCATGCGAAGTCGAGGCGTTACCACAGTGCTACGCGGCAGTCTTAACAACCGGTTTTATATCTCGAGTTTTTGTAGTACCCGACGTGCACTGCACGCGCTCTCTTGGAAAATGCGAAAAAAAAAAAAAAATCGCCGATAACAAAATGCCGCCGTAGCACTCTCGATACTTAGAGCTCCTCTCTGGAGACGCGCTTTCACGCCCTCCGGAACAAAAAAAGAAACAAAAGCGTTCCGAACAAAAGGGTCAGATGTCCATTTTGCTCCGAACGCTTTGGTTCACACACCCCGCGGTGCATGAACGCACCGCCGATGCCTAACAACTGTTCCGTTGCCTGTCGCAGCTATCGCGACGACTGTACTGTGGATTAAAACAGGACGGATTATTTTTAAGCACATGATTTTCTTCCTAGGAATATGAATTTTAATAAATAACGTCGGCATTCATAATTTATTAACTCCAGGCAGTTTCCACAGCGACAGTTGTTAGTGACAACCTTCCCGGGGCATCGAGTGGTAGTCCTCCGCGAAACCTCTAGGTGCCTCGAGCGTGCACGCGTAGTCAAAGCACGCGTCAAGAAGCAGTGAGCGCGTGCTAAAAGCCAGGCGTTCGAAAGGGACGGCCTGCCGTTTTCCCTTTAACAATGTTGACTTTGACAGTGGCTGTAGCCAACACCCCGCTGCGCCAGAGAATGCCCCCGGTCATTCTATACTACAAGTATAGATTACAGCGTGTTTTTTATTAACTATTTTTGTTGATGTTTTTAGTGTGTTCACTCCCTTGTATAATGCCCCCTGGGGCCCTCAAGGAAAATAAATGATGATGATGATGATTCGACCAGTCGAACTTGAACGGCGTATGGCTAAACCTCGGAAAGTTGGTCGCGGGTCCGAAAAACGCGACGTTCAGTTACGGCTGAAGAAGGAGACTCATCGTAGAATGTATATGGATCACGCATTGGAGAGGAATTAACGGCAAAAGCGAAAATTGCCTGAAAATTATTGCTATTGTGCTATGGGGTAGTCGCAGAAATGATAATGACACCGCAATAATAGCAAGTTACGCGAGCGCGGATCTGCAGTTTCTGTAACACACTTGACGCGACAGCGTACATTCACTGATTTTTCCGCATGTGTTTATGCCTATGCTCACTTCCCCGCAAACACAAAATTTCCATTCACACCAGAGTTTATCCACCCTAATTATATCGTTGAAGGATAACATTATTAGTCTCCCAAGCTATGTGTCTAGGATTGCCAAACCTAGGCACTGTTAGGTTTTTCCTCGGCTTTGTGTCTTGAACTGCACAACCATGTCTTGTGATTGCGGATGGTAAGTATAGGTTTTTAAAAGTAAGGTGCCGTTCAATCCTTGTCCTTGATAAAATAACGTTTTGTCTAAAAAAGCACATAGAGACAAATAAGTTGGATGCCTTTTACAGATATAATGAATAACAAAGTTACATCTCGCAAGGTAAATGAATTGCTCAGCGTTTTGGTGGAAGTCAGGTTCAAAAATGTAGTTGAAATCCTGACACCGAAGTTTAACTCTTGACGACAGGAATGACCTAGTTTGTTTGATTTCTTAGCGCAACCTGTAATCAGTCTTGGTACAATCATTAATTTGCCTCATCTGATACCCTTTCTCCCTTTGTCTCTTTCTACTTCCCTTTCATTCCTACATTATTCCTGTTCCGTGCTTGTCGAGGCGTTTCCAGAAGTGTTATATTTACGTTGCTAGTTGAAGGATGCGCAGGTGTTCCCGTTCGCAAGGTAACTTACAAAAAAAGTGCTGCCAGATTGTATGCTTTCATTCCCGGATTATAAAACAGAAACTCGCTGAGAGGCACAAAAAAGGAGTATTTTAGGTGATTAGAGTGCTTTATGTCAAAGTTCAAAAGGCTGTCTGGAGCCATTCGGGTGTTAGATATTTAAAAACTGATAGCACAAACAATATAAAAATAACTCCTTTTTAACTTAACTGTACTATTCATGTCAAATGACCGACTGTTCTGCAGAAACGGCTTTTATGTGGTGAATGTATTGATTTCATTTTTTTTTGCGGTGTATAATATTTTATATTTTTAATAATTATAAAACGTTTACACATATATGACGTACCTTTGTAATAAATTATAATGTCATAATTTGCAAAACCAATATATATTGTCAAACGTGCTGCTGATCAGGCGGACGCCGTAGTTTTTGCATCGAAAAGTAGACGAGTCTGTGAGAGACGTGAGCGATCTACTTTAAATCTCCAGCTGATAGAACATACAAGATTCGAGCCTTGTACGGTTTTCTAGGGAGGCAACTTTACAATCATCTTGTTTCTTAATAGTACTAACATTGCTTATAATATGTATTTTTTAATGTTTACAATGTTCATATATGTGTGGGCTGTTTCCACCCAAATCTCCGGCTGCCAAAATACGACCACAAGAAAACAGCGGAGTGCTGTCTCGTGCCGCTCTTTAGGGAAGTGCCTTCTCACTATTGCCACTTCAAGATGGCAACACTCTTTGTAACAGAAAATACAGTGAATAAAAATTTATCTCGTGTAATCAGTGTGCCTCTAGAGATTCCAGATCAGGAAAAGTAAATCTTAATTTTATCAAAGTGACACACCTATTTTAACATTAATTGGGACATTAAGCATTAGGAGCAATGGAAACTAAATAAAAGTTTAAAAAGTAAAAAAAAAAAAATTCCGACTGACTGCAACAAATTTCTTCACAATTTTTATATTTTTTTCTTAAGTTACACGCCCGTGGAAACAAAGTTATATACTATCACGCTTTTTAAATTTTGGTGTGAACAACAATAATGTGCTCCCATGTGTCTGTTCATTAAGGTGATACTAATGCCCTTATTTTGAAAACTTATTCATATATCCACAAAATAGAATTGTTTCGTCTGTTTTTTTTATTAGCTATGCTTCCCATAAAATTTCATTTGGACGAGAAATGCCTTGATTAGTCTGGGTAAAAGTTCAGTCATTGACAAAGAAGTTAGACAATCCTGATGTTTCCGCTTCTAATTTGCTTTCGTTTAATATATTGGCACAAAAACTGAAACCTCAATTTTTGTTTAAAAAATGAGAGTACTAGGTTTTATATTTTTGTGAACTTTAAGCTGGTCACTGTTTTTTTAATCCAATTTCTTTCGTGTTTGAGTAAAAAAAAACTGTCTTTCGTAAGAGAAAGAATATTTGTTAAGAGTCACAAACTTATTTTTATTATCTTTACTTCACAAATCAGGAGGATGACAAAGACGTCAAAAAGGCACCTGGGCCAAATGGTGGCAATAAGACCAACTGGAAGCAAGGCTTTGAAACATGGCTGAAGAAATCAAGATCAATGGCAGACAAGATCGACCTTGTGTTCCGCGTCCTGCTTCCAGTCCTCTTTATCCTATTTTTAATAATTTTTTTTGGCACACATCTGTCGGCATCAACAGATCCCGATGAGCTGTTTTAGGGCACGTTTTTTTTCCGAGTGTGCTCCCCTGACCTAAGTGTGACTAATCCGTATTGATATTGCTATTGTTACTAACAAAATAAAAAAGGCAATCGACAAGACGGAATGTCTGTTTCGTCAAAATCAATTCGATTAAAGCCAATAAAAGCCTGGAAGTGTCAGTGGGGAGGGTCAAATTGAAACGCTTGATATGGTTGAAGGTGACCTCTATTTTCTGTAACATTAGTGCACGAATTGATTAAAAGAAGCGGGGGGGGGGGGGGGGCGGGATGGATGTCGACTTTATGGGATCAACCAGGCGTTTCTTCCCATCTTGTGTCAACGCAATAAAAACCGGTGTTTTTGATAAAATAAAAACATATCAAAACATGATTTGAACGCCGCTGAGAGATAGGCTAAGACTGTGGTGTTTTCGATAGTTCAATAGCATTGTCCAGGTTTATTTTCATGCTTGACATACTTCCTGGCAGATGCCGGAAACGTTACACATCTCCACGAAACCATATACAGACACTCCAATCGAGAATCTAATTAGTTTTTTTTTTTTGCTTATTGTGTTTTTTTTTTTTTTTGCGATGATGTCTTCTGAAAACACACTCCCTGCGAAACAAAATATAAGAGCAAAATAAAAAGGGGGGATTGCTTTAAACAAAGTAATTCAGAACAAAGGGTTTATCCTTAACACAGCCTAGACACCGGGTGGGTTAATCCAGAATCAGTCTCAATCAGGAACGTCCTATCCATGCTGCGGCTGTGAGAAACTTCAATAAAAAACCATTTTGCGCTTTCACACGAGTAACAAATTAAACGAACTATAATGGCCATGCTCGTTAACGCGTCTTCAGGACAATCGAATGGAAACATGACATTTTAAAAGGGTCCCACGAAAAATAGGGCTTTGAACTTGGGCAATGTAGACGGTTTCAAGATCGGGATAGTACATCACAGAAACGAAAAATGTTTTGATTAGATTTTGTAAAAAAGAGGAAAGTGCCTAGGCCTTGCAGTGATATGCATGAAGCCAAAAATATATAAACTCCATGTGTTTTCTTAATCCCTCTATAGTTCTGGTGTCAAGCTAATATATTTTATTCTAGACTGAACATATCGTTGAATTTTTAAATACAAATACTTTACTCTGTTTTAATAAAAATATTCAACGGTACCACGAGCTGTAAAATATTTGCACGTCACCAATGCTCCTGTATAGTGACTGTTTAGATAAACACACACAAATAAGCATGGCGTAATAGAGATAAAAGGTTAAAATAATATATTTCTCGTCATTTATATTTAATAATATATTTGTATGTAGTGACAATATACGACTGAACTATTGGGGAAGGTAAAGCAACCATCGACTGAATAAGGATCAATGGGATATTGGGACCGATTGTCATTTCGATTGAGATATATTTAATGTTTTGGTTATAACAGTTCTTTTTCTTCTAAATCGCTTCCTAAAGTGGATGAAACTTTGAACTAACTGAAGTCATGTATTTCACAAGAATAGATTTTGTGATTTAATAGAATCAATTGATCAATTAAACAAACAATCATGTTTGATTGCGTGTTCCCAAACAGCTGCTAGGTCTTAATGGTGCTCACTCACTCAAGTCCAATAAAAACCAGCATTGTCAGATTGTAGTTAGTTCACGACATTTTCTGAACATTGAAAAGGGAGAAGAGAAATCAAGATATGCGTTGTCGGGCTTATTACACGTGTTATAAATCCTAAACAAAAAGGTGTCACAATGCACAATAAAATAATAGAAAAGTTCTCTAAACCTGCTGTGACAAGGTTCGTTAGATAGCTCTTCTAAAGTTTTCAAACTTAAAACCAACTAAAGACATTCATTAAACGAAGTTCCACAATATGATTAACTACACAGGAGCATTACATTCTATTTTTCTTAGGTATGTTCTTAAAAGGGTTGAAGCTAAGCTTAGACAAACAAGTTCAAAATTAAAAAGATATCCAGCAGTGAACAAAATATATGATATTTTGGTTTTACGTGGGTAACTTTTCTTTGAACTGGGATACAAATAAAAAAATTGTAATGGAACGCTACGTTAACGTATTTATAGAGTACAAACTGATGCTTACTTAAATATGAATTAATTTTTTGTAATCGATATTTATTGCAAACCTGGTAACATCAGTGCAAGAGGACGTCGTCAATAATCTGCCTGTTGTGACAAATAGGACACCGCGTACAACCCTATGTCTAGATATAAAGTTAAGCTGACCAGTACTTTGTAGGGAAACCCTTTGCATCGATCACCGCTTGGCACCGACAATGCATGGAATTCAGCAAATTGTCGATGACCATCTGGCCTTTGTTCGCTCACTCCTGCTGCAGTTGGTCAAATTTCTCGCCAATGTTTCGGGCTTTCTTGACCCGCAGACGACGCTACAGCTTTTCAAAAGATGCTCGTCGAGCAATAAAGAAGTATTGCTCGACGTGCCTAGACGTCGAGCAATACTTCTGTAAAAGAAACGAAATATCATATCATTGTGTTTACTACTTATGTTCCCCAGGCAATCCTTTGACTTTTTGTCAGCAATGATATAAAAGTGATGTTTAAACTGACTAATAATATAAATATTTCAGGTTGCCATGAGGACAGTGTTACCAATTTACATTAAATTTTTGTTACTCTAATGGAGCGAAGTTTGGTGTGAGTTTTACTTTGTCCTGGGAAGGGTAATTGTAATAAATACCATAAACGCTGATTGAATTTTATTTTAACTGCCTTAAGCATTAGTAGAAGATTCAGACGGGCATGTGATGAAACATCCCGAATAAGATGACGGGTATTCTAGAACAGAACGCAATGCATCTATGTTATTTATGCGTAAATTTTATGATCTGTCGCAAATGCTTGGTTATAATCAGCGCGAACCGTGGAACCTGACTACGCTGCATTTGAGTGTATACTCGTTCGGCGGCGCTTAGTGAACTCGAAACTTCCCTAACAGCTTTCGCTAAAATCAGACCCAAAAATTACAGTCATCATAAGTTGTCTACCAACCCCCCCTTCTCTCTCAATTTGTGCGACTGCCATTGGAATGGCATTAATAAATAACTTATTTTCGCTCCAGAAGGCGATGAGATAGGGACGAAAAGCTACATTCAGCATACTCAGATCGACTTAGCTCAGCTCCTTCCCACTATATGAAGCATCTTGACGGGCAGCAGCAGAGGCATTACAGCAAATCACAATAACTTGCACAGAATTGCATCCAAATACACCGAAGAATAAAACAAAAAAGCAAATTTCAAATAGGTGCTCCTCACCTGTTACTAGTTACCATTGCAAAATACCAAAGTGCGTTAGCACGCAAGCCAAAGAGAGAAAAAAGCAGTTGCACTCCTAACAGTGTGTAGCGAAGGCTATGCATAATCACAGATAAAAATAAAATAAAAAACAAGACGAAAATTGACACAGAGCCAAGCGCTGTGTTTGTCCCTTCCTTAAACGCGTCCCTTTGTCTCTTTTTACGCTGTGTTATTTCTTCAGTTTTGACCGTGACAATAAATGCGGCCTTTTTGCTTCTGAGTTGTCGAAACGATGTTCCAAGAAGACATGTTTTTTTTTAGAAATAGAAACGCAAATTATGCATGTTGTTGTCTAATCTATTACGTCGTACTTTGAGCCTCGCTTCGGTGTTTATAGGTCAGAATCAATCTAACCTCGTAAGAGTTAAAAATCTGAAAGGCTTGTTGAGGTTCAATGCCAGACTAATTGTGACACTTATCCGAATTGAAGTCGTCTTCAAGCTCTGAATTCTATAAAGTTTACATTTCGGACGATTATATGGAAACTAGCAATTCGTATTAAAGTCTACTTCTTGGCTAAAACCCGATATTCGATGATCCCACTCGGCCTCTGAGTGCTGAACACCGATTCCCCCGCTGCAAAAGCTACTTCAAGAGGCCTGTAAAGCTTAAGCTTTCAAGCGCCGTCTTAGCAATATTCAATTTAATAAATAAATAAATAAAATATTTGAAGTTACGAATGCTAAAATAACAACAAAACGTAATTGAACAGGTAAAGGCAATTAAAAAAATCTAAGAAAATTGCTGGAACCCTGTGAGTGGCCGCCGACGTTCAGTTAAGAGGCCTAGCAACTTCGGAAAAGGCTCTTATTGCAACGTCGGCTGGCACTTTGAGGCTTCCCGGAAGTTCTTTTAAAATAAGATATTGTAAAACCGTTAATGTTCGCGAGCCCTCAATTTTTGCGAATTTCACGAATGGAAGAATTCGCGAAGGGCGCGCGAATTCTTCAAGGGCGCGCGAAAATTTCGGTCCTTAAGATTTTCAATGCAGGCGTCTGGAATTCGCGAAATTTAGTGGTCGCGATTATGTCATCTGTGAGCGATTCGCGAAAAATAGGGGCCGCGAAAATAAAGGGTTTTACAGTATCTTACATTTTTCTAATTCCGGACACACGAAAAAAGACCATAAACACGGGGTTAATGGCGAACTGCAAACCGGCAGGTTTATAAACCGGAGAAACACAGGAAACGTCGTGACTGGTATTTGTTGTTTTCAACCTCCACTCCTCGTTTCCAAAGTTTATTTTTTAAGCACGCCTATTTCAATATATATTAGAAAAGTCTCTCGTTACTGCTCTTCGGGTGCCAGGACCTCGCCAGTTCCTTCTAGAGGTAGCACTCCAGAAATAGAGAGTGCGTCAAAACAGTGAATGCCAACAAACACAGATGGGAGCTGCGTATTTCTTTTGCATCCAAGAAAAGAAAAAAAAAACAATCAGCTTGGGTGCCGTGGTACAAGCACGACTGTACGACGCCCCTCTCGTTCTCGTGGCGCAAAAAGTGCATAAGCAACACACAAAAAGAGGTCGGCCCGCTTCTATTTTGCGCCAGCTTCGCGCGTTCCGAAGGGGCCGTCAATCTTAATACCAGGGGCTGCCTTGCCGGCTCCCAACTCGGACGAAAACCTTGAGCTAGCCTTCCCCCCCCCCCCCCCCCCCCATTTAAGCAGCAGCCCCGCTCTACAAGGGTCCACATGCCATGACCGCATGTGGTGCAACGAAATGAGGAATGAGCATGCCGCAAGAAGAGATCAACAGGACATCCTAATTATGACAACTTCCGCGGAAGACCCCTGAATGGGCGCCTTGGCCCGCGCAGGAGACCCTGTTATGTCTCAGTGCGAGAGAAAAACAAGATGGCGGGAAGGGGTGGGGGAGCGGCTGGGCCGACGGTAAAACGATAACCAAAACAGCGACACGAGCGCCCTCGTGTTTGCCTGGCGGAAGAAAAGAGAAGCTAGTCCACGAACTGGTTCTTGAATATGTGGTGCGGGAGTTTTCCCTGTTGGTGAGTGTTGTTACCGGCTTTTTAATTCCCATGGAGATTTTCTCGTGCGTTCGTGCGTCCGAGATGATGATGATGGTTATCGTAGCGCTGATGATGATAATCTATACGAGGTAGATACAGCAAGTCAGGAGGCACTATCAGTCTACTTGCATACTATCTTGTTGAAATTATAAATGGAGGTAATCGAAAGCTTGAAAGATCCCGGATACAGCAGAGGTAAAAACAGGCTAACCACAATGTTCTGTCCAAACATATACCGTAGACAAGTTCCTCCGAAGGAAAACAATAAGGAAGGCTATGCACGCTGATCAGATGATCTTACAAATTATTTTCCACTGTTTAGTTTTTACGTTAATGTCGAGCTTTCAAGATCATGCGTATGTGATATTTGAGAAAGGAGACGGTGTTTGCGTATGACACATTCTAGGACCGTGACTCACCGCACGGGTCTTGGCGGTCCCTCCGTGTTTTTAATACTACCTTTACTTCATTGGTAACTTTGTACAAGAACTCAAGTAAAATAAAACAATACCTTTTGTTTTCGTGTAAACTGAACAAACAAACGAAACAGGTAGCTGTGGAGTTTTATTACAAGCCTTCGAAATGAAGCAAAATTGCTGTATTTTGTCGTGCATTCTTCAAGACGAGCAAAGGAGGATGAAACGTTCAGACACATGCCCAAATATTGCGGATTAAACGAAAAATGCATGTTTAGGTTATATGAACCCACATCGCTGTTTCCTGGTACGCACCAAAACAAGAAATGAGGAAAAATAGAAAAGGCAAACAAACAATATATACATAAATTCGAAATGAAGGAGCCCAAACGGCGATTCCAGTAAGCAGCAGTGACAACAAAGTAATAATGTAAAAAAATATACATAAAAAAGCTAGATGACCGGAATGGTGAGAACAGTCCCTGCACTGCCAAGAGAGGGGCGGTTCGTACAAGGAAACGCGTTGCTTTCAGGCATTACTTCTTTTGGTTCTCGCACACTTACCTGTAATATAAACCACAAAAAAATAGAAATTTAGCAAATCATGACTGACATAGGCGTGTATGGACTTCATTATAATCAGACTCACATAGTTAGTCTCACCGACTGTTAAGCCTACGTTCGATTTCATTTAATGTGCTCGAACATCTCACGCTTTTTGCGAGGTATTTGTACAGAGGTTATATGCTTTTGGCAGATATAGTATTTAAACGCATTTTAATCTTGTATTATCTAAGCGTTGCTATTTTATCATCTACAAAAATATAGTAACCACAAAGAAGCAGATGTCTTGGCTTAAATGAGGAGATGATACAAAAATAAACAGATCAACTAAGTCCATTTTACTTTAATTCTTTCAGAAAATCCCTAGTGCAAGATGCTGCAACATCAGAACATGCTCCTTATCCAGAGGACTCTAGCTTCAACGGTGCTTTTTGCCCTGCTGGCCATCTGTGGAGCGCAGTAAGAATCGCATTTATATTTTCAGTACTTTCTTTTGTTAGGCAACAAAAACTGTTAAAAACAGCAAAACACGAACTCATCTACTCGTTTTAAAATTCAAATTTTTTAGAGCGCAGTTTCTAGGCTCCCGTTTCCGGGTTAAGCGGCGACACCATCGCCTTCGCCGTCACCGTCGGCGTAGCCGCGCGTTGCATTATGGGACGTTTTCCGCAACGACGTCACACGTGACGTCACCTGTGAGGTCACGAGGGTCACGAGAGTGACGAGTTACGTCACAAGAGTTACGAGGGTGACGTGACACCGACATACCTTCCCCTCCAACCCTTCCCTCCTCCTGCTCCTTAAAATCTGCCCTCTAATTCGTCATTACGGAGAATCGTTAACGTCTTTCATTTTTTTAATTAGTGTTATCTCGGAGGGCAAGGGCAGTGGCGTAGTCTTACATTCGGGCACAAAGCCGGCTAATCTATGGTCGGCACAAACACAGTAAGGTGTTCCTCGTGTATGTGTTCTAAATTAATGTATTGTTCTTAATATATTTTCATCAGCTGACTGACTACATACCAACACAAAATATTTGTAGAATATTATTTCAAGAAAAATGTACTTTTGTGCCCAAATAAATTTGTATAGTAACATGGGCTACATAAACGCATCATCGAGAAACAAATAATCTTAAGTCATAACAACATAAAATTAAGTCATATGAAGTCATAAATTTGAAATTGCATTGCACACAAGCTGAATGTACATATGTAGCTGTAGCAAGTGTCTCAATTACGGGAAAACATTATATTCATAATTTAAGGACCTATAGACAGGTTATATGCTATCAGATTGTTTTACAATGAAAAGTGTTATTTCAAATCGTACTGCATTTGTGTGAAAGAAGTTATCTGAATCTAGCTATAGAGAAAATTTCAGCGTGTTTTCTGTAAAACAGGACCAAATTAGCTGAGACTGCAGTCCGGATTGAAGACCACATTCTCAAATCTGAAGCCTACGATAAAAGGGTGCGACCTCCAGGTCTCTACGAGACCCATGGTATGACAATAATTAGCATTCCTTATTTTCTCGCGCGCGAAGATAACTCATGTCACCTTGCAAGCGCTTGCAACGACAACATGGAATAATTCTTATGCGAAATCATTTAACTTTCTAAACGAAGCTTGACCTTTTTAGTGTTCACGTTAGCACTTCGGAGCCATGAAGCGAATTCGCATATCATACATTTTATTAATGCTACACCAAATAACAATGAAGGTTGAATGACATTATAGGTTTTAAGAGTTCAATCTTTTAACAAAGTATCACGACGTATATAATACATTTAAAGGAAACCGTCGAAGATGCAAAACATATCTTTAATTTATTTTGCAATCACATGCCTTGCGATCTGTAACACCACGCCACCGTTTTAAACCATTTTTATAATTTAACGTACACGGTGGAAGACTGGCAGGCGCTTTCGCTTAAATGCAAGCTAAAGAGGACCTTGAATTCAAACAAATAGTAGGATATGTAATATAGACAGCTTAAAAATGATCTGCCTCAAGTTTTCTTTCGATCTTATTAGAACGGGCATTTTAATTTCGATGTAGACCACGCCGGCGCGCCGGCTGTAGGAAAGCGCGAGAGCGGAGAGAAAAAAAACTAGCAAACGTGACGTCATTAGCGGTGTCAGATGAACCTTGCTCGCGGCTAACCTGGCTCGAGGATGCCGTCAATTACGTCACAACGCTCTGGGCAGATAACAGGCGGCAGAGACGAACGCTGCGTGCCCGTCGGCAATCGCAGCACGTATTTTTTTTAATAATGCGTGGTTTACGTTTACCTCTGCCCGAAATATGTGCGGTAACTGAATGCACGGGACAAAAATCAATAAAGGACTACTCCTAACTCAGATTTTATGAAAAGTGCTTTAGTTTCCTCCTTAAAAGGATACTGAACCGAAATTTGGATTTCGCAAAATAAGGCCGCAGAAGCGCTGAACGGGATGTAAAACGTCACTCATACATCGACATCTCAAACTGATGGCTGTACTTTTGGAAAAGAAGGGCGCGATCAAGCGAAGTCTCTAACGTTATTGTCCCTCTGGAACATTTGAGAATGAGGGGAAGCCGCCTCGCGTCTCTCCTCCTCGCTTGGGTTCACCAGCTGGACGGGACGTAGTGAGGAGGAGAGGGAAGGGGAATCGTCACGTTACTTGTCTCGTCAGCCACATTGTCCATCTTGAATCGCACACTTCTTTTCCAAAAATACGGTGATGCGTTAGAGATATCGCAGTATGAGTGATGTTTTCGGGGTTTTGCCTAAACTTCCAGCCTTGTTTTGTGAGCTCGAAATTTTGGTTCGGCATCCCTTTAAAGGAAAACTGAAGCACTTTTCGTAAAATAAAATTCCTGGCACGCCACCAAGTACGCATCTCTTCCTGTGCGAATAAATTATTTAATCACATAATCAATTTTCATCAAAGGGTCAGTAACGTATTATGTAGCATAAATGCTACATCTATATTTAATATAAAGAATTTCCTCTACGCAACATGACCCCGAAAAAAGAGTGGAACGCGATGACGTTATCGGTCCCCTTCACGTCGCCTCCTCATTCGCCGTGCAAGCGTGCCTTGCGGGGTCTATACTCCGCGATAACTTTTCTTGCCAACGCAGTGGAAGCTACAGGCCCGCGTCCCCTCTCCCATTTTGAAGAAAAAGTGCGAGGGCTCTCATCCTCTCCCCGGAAATGGGGGAGGAGGAGAGCCTGCGTACACTCCAAATGGGAGAGGGTACGCGGGACTGTTCCTTCCACTGCATTGCCAAGAAAAGTTGTCGCGGAGTATAGTCAGTAGCGTGTCTGGCTCGCAACCGAAGGGTCCCGCCTAAAAGTCTTTACATTTTTCTTTAAGGCAAATTATTTACTTTATAAAGCGAAATTTTTTTAGACATCTGGCAACCTTTGATTTACCTTACATATCAGTTTTTTAATCACTTTCATTCGTTCGTGACGGCACATTTCACGTGACCTTTGTGGGTTCGTTTGAAATACTGGCGCGAGCGTCACGCGTCACGCTGTGACGCCATGACCCTATCGACAATCTGGAACTGCGTCACGCCGCCGACGCCGGCTTTTCAGCCACGCCCCCAAGGCCACCTTTTTTGCGACAGGAGCTCCTTAACGCTATCGCGTTAATACGGACTTTACGGCGACGACTGCCTACTCTACTACACGATTAGCTCATCGCGGAGTCATAACGTCCTCAACAATATTTCACTATCCTCTTTCAAAATATTGGCGGAACTAAACACAGATTTACGTAAAATCGTGTTCAGGTTATTTTCTATGCACACATTGCCATGTTCACCTAAAGAAAAAGGATGTTCCATCGCAAGTATCCTCCCTTTTTTGCACACACGTGTGATTTCTCAACGAAAACTTCATAAATGGGAATATAGTGTTGCCCTCCGGTGACAAGGTGTAAGTAGAGGTTGAAGCGCCGTATTTACGACCCACATAATCAAAATCAAACTAAGCACAACAAGTTCGAATGCATGTACAGAAGTTCCAAGCAATTTCGGCTCAAAAAATAATTCACCCTTCGAAGGAGTCGCTGCCATTAAACTAGAACGCGAAATTTAATTTCTGGTAAAATTAATATTCCATCGTAATATTCACAGCGCAGAGACACTAATGTTAAAGTAAGTATAGGGCGGCGGAAAACGAAAAGGGAGAAAGCTTCACAGCCTTCCGTTCTCCCGCCACCCAGTGTAGGTTCAATCTTAGTTGAATGTGAAAATTGTATTCACCATGGCGTTTCTTTCTTTCAGACCCCACGATAGTGCGCACTAATATGTATATTCGGTCTCTTTACGATATATGCGATACTGACATGGTAAGTACACTCCATACGCACTCTTCTGAACAACAGAAATGAACTTAGCGTTTTGATGGTTATGTAAAGGATAATTACTTGGTGAATGTTTTCATAATATTATTCTTATACCTGTCGTTAACGAAAATTGCTCTAATGTACGTATCACTTCTCCAAATCCCTGTGATCTCTTGTGAATAAAAACAGAATTGCGAAGACATTCGCTCAGATCAGACTTGCGGGTGCATCTAAAGATTCTGGTCTAAGCATATTAAATAACTGTATTAAAAATCCAAAGTGTATCCTATAAAATAAATATATTTTTGAAAATAACACTAGCTTAGTATAGCCGGTCGATAAAACATAAACGTGTCTACACCACGAAGGGACATCTTAAGTTGCACAGAGAAGCAACCAAGGCATTCAATGATAAATGTGGACGTCATCTCCGTTTTTCTGCATCATCCTCTTGCCCGAAAATTTTCTGCGAGGTTCCAGGCAGTAAGAAAAGTCCCTATTAAGTATTCGGGCCACTGGTGTTTTGTAAGCAGGTTTTCTGAACAAAGATTTTGCTTCTTTCTCCAAATATAAAACATTATCTGTATAGATGACGTACATTTATATCGACGTTTTGATGCTAGGTGAAAAGTTGCTTGGATGTGACCACTATCCTTAATCACTATTATTACGCCTGTTTGCGGTTTACTATTTATTGACAACGCTGGCGACTAGCACGATAACTACACGTTTTGCACTAACACATTGGTGATTTCACCATGTTTCTTCGCGGTATCCAGAGTTTCAAGGTACAGATCACTTTCCGGCTACAGTGGGTTGACAAGCGCCTGACATTTGATGACCTAGGTGGCCAGATCAGGTTTCTCAACGTGTATGACGTCAGCCGATTGTGGATTCCGGACATATTTTTTGTTCACGAACGCGAAGGTCATTTCCACGAGGTGATTCGTCCCAATTCGCTGGTGCGCATCAACCCGGATGGGTCGATTCTTTACAGCGTCAGGTGTGTGCCCACTTCGTGTCCTTAGGTGGTCTCGCTCCTTTATTATCTTGTTTCGTTACTAGCATTATAATCTAGCGGAATTAATGAAGGTATTTATATGCGTTTAATTAAGTTTTAAGCTAGTTCGTAATGGCCAACAGTTTTATTTTACAACTGCCAGAAAATAGTGCGCGAAGAACCTCCCTACAGAGTTTCATAATATCATGCAACGACGGAAAAGCAGCTGTCGTATTTGTTTTCCTTATTTTTTGTCAAATATACTCGTTCCTTTCGTTTATGAACTGTCCCTCACTGAGTTTCGGCCATCGTATCTCTGGAGACGTTTAAGAAAAGCGTGTGCGTCATATAACATATTTCAACCAAACAGATTCGGTTCGTCCCTAGTCATAGTCTCGTACGTGTTGATTACGATAGATAGTTTGGGAGGCGCACTTGTTTTTAATACGCACAACTTCGACGTATCTGAGATGGAAGAAAAATAAAAAGGACAGGTACGACCCTTTTCAAAACCAGCTTGCTAACTACCAGCAACTGGCACACGATAAATGGACGATAAAGACAATTAAGAAAATGGGAAATTGCCTGCGTAAATAAAAATGCAGTCATTACAATAAAGGTTATATTAAACGAAATTAAATCTAGCTTAAACATTTTTAAGGTGCGTTTTTTTTAGCTAGGTGAACAAAGTGACTTGTAAGTCATAACGTAACAAGTACCGAGTAAAATATAATCAGTCACTTTTTACGGAACGCATTAGTGAGAGCAATCTATTAATTTCGGGCGCAGTATCTTGCGAATGAAATACGTTACAATTAGGAAGTAACAAGCAAATAACAACGTAGAATAAAAAAAAATCGATAAATGTCTGAAAGTTAGTAATCTTTCTTTACCGTTAAATATTTGTTTAACCTCTTATACAGTGACAATCTTTGAAATGGTTTGTAAGATAACCATAAAATTATTAACACCGAAAATTGATAAGACAAAGCTATCGACAGTGGACTATTGTGAAACTCTATAGAATGCTATGAATACTCGACTATCGTGAAATTTTTTATAGTCAAATCTCGAGAAACTATACATACCCAAGTATCGTAATGCTATCGATAGCGTTTTATTAGGTGACGGACGAAGAACGCCCAGAAAGTGTCGTGTAGATTGGGGGAAAAAAACGCAACTGCAGTTAGGAACTTCCGCATAATTATCGAGGAACAATCTAAAACCTATGCGGAGGGCAAGTTCGTCTGCTTCTTGCGCAGGGGGTAGCGGTGACTTCAGAACGCCGAGCCCTGATTGGCTGATCGCGACCCCCTATCTGAGCGTCGTCTGCTCCTTTGCAACGTCGTCTGCTCGCAACGTCGTCTGCGTCTGTCTTACCTTTCCTGCGACTTTCGGAAGTGCAGAGGATTCACGAAACGATCTTACGCCAAGAATGTGCGTAAGAGAAAACGTAAGAACAAATTCGTATTCACGAAACGAAATTTTCGTAAGTTTTGTGCAGGTTACGACGAAATCCTACGACAGCTCCGAAGCTGTCTTACGCACTTCTTACGATCAAATCAGCATGGCCGACAGCGTCGCGGTCGCGACGACCCACGGACGTTTATTTTTCTACGCGCGCTTCTCACGCGTCTCGACTTCAAGCAGCAAGAAAGAAGTAAAAAGTGTTTAAAACAGACCACGACGAACAAGAACGTTGGATCCACAAACACTCAGGAAAAGCTCCGGCGGCCACGATTCCACCGAACACGGCTAAGTGAGTACGGCAGTTAGGCATAGCAGGCACACCGCGACTCGGCGACCGTCTGCCCACGACCGGTTGGCGTGCTGAATGGAATATGCCCGCGCGACCCTTGTGAACCCTTCCCGTATTATACTTTGATCGCTGACCTCAATTTTAGATTAAGAGGTCAATTTCTTCCTCTTGTTATCTCCTTGTTTCCCGAGGCAGCGGTGACTCGCCGGTGAAAAAGCGGTGAATCTCCGACAGACGCAGGAAAGGTAAAGCAGCCATCGCTTTGACTAGCAGACGTAAAGCAGACGGCGTTAACTGCGCTAACCCGCCGACGCCGTTAAAGAATGAGGGGTCCCGCCACACACGAAAGGAGGGACAAAGTATTTGGGAGGCGGGCACTAACACGCTTACTCTCGGTTCTTCGCAAACGAACCTCGGCGCCTCGGGACATCTCGCCAGTGAGTCCTTTGACTTCCCTCCTTGATGCGCGTCTGCTAGTTGTTAGACAAAAACAACGTACCGCTCGAGTTATTTCGTCTGCCCTCTCTGAAAGGCGAAGTCGAGCTCGCTCGTACAGACCTGCACTTCCGAAAGTCGCAGGAAAGGTAAGACAGACGCAGACGACGTTGCGAGCAGACGACGTTGCAAAGGAGCAGACGACGTTAAGATAGGGGGTCGCGATCAGCCAATCAGGGCTCGGCGTTCTGACGTCACCGCTACTTCCTTTCTCATGCCCAGAAGACGAAAATGAGCCCACTTGTGAGGCGTATTGAAAACATTCACAGAACAGAAGTGTGGCGTTTTTTTCGAAACAAACAGGTTGCGAGAAACAAAGGAAACAATATTGCCTTTCGGAATCACAAGCTCTTTTTTTCACAGAAATAATTCCTCATGGCCAACAATATCGTTACTTGCATCACAAAAAAAAAGAAGTTATTTTTATCATTTATGTTTGATCGAGTTAACGATATGGTCCCAGTCTTATTGTATTTGAAAAATGGGAAAACCTAAAGGCATCAGTAACTATGATTTCTAGTCAAATTTGGGGGTTTTACGTGCCAAACCAACGACGGGCATCTGGCACGCCCCAGCGGAGGACTGAGGATTAATTTAGACCACCTGGGGATCTTTTGACGTGCAAACGAAAGCTCGGTTACACGGCGCCTCCACCGCAATAAGCCACCGTCAGATTGCGGGCACCTCGGCCGGGATTCGAACAACTATGATTTCTAGGTATAAGCTTTTTATCTGGTAATGTTCAATGTGAAGTCTGCCCAACAATCGTTCCTATTACATTTATTGAAACAAAGATATTTATTTATAGACTATATGACGGCTTCTGTAGCTTTAAGCTTCTTTTCTTTTATAGGAACAGGTAAATATTTTTACAGCCACCGTTATTAAACTCTGCCAAAATAGAAGCAAACAACAAGTGACAACATCATTGCGTACAAGCCTAAGCCCTTTTGTCAACAGCTGATTCCCGACTTTCTGGAACTCGCTATGAATGATTATTAGTGGAAAAAAGAAAGACCTCCAGCAGGGTGCTAATTTTCACCTGTTTGCGGTCAACGATATTAAAAGGAATATGTGTCAATTAAATAATAGGGTACACAAGCGTCAACAATATTGTGAAATCCTTGACGCTAAATGTCTTCCGGGAGTGTTTTCCCTAGAGAAGCGAAAAAAATATTTAATAGTCTGAATAGTTTTGCAAAGGCTGGCATACTAAAGTATGAAGCCTGATATCTAAATACCATGAATATTAGAAATGCTTGCGCGGGACAACTAGCGAACCGACATTTCTGTTTTACCTCTATATTAATTGTAGGAGAAAGCATCTCTATCTTTCCTTTCCTTTCAGTTTTATGTTTTTCCTAAAATCACGCGTTGTCTACCCGTACAGTCGCCTCTTCAATCCCTTTTCGGGTAGTGTTTTAATTTTGTTAACATTTGATAGTTTTCTGAAAGGTGACTTCGATAGTATCTAAAGTCAGCCAGTACCGAGAGTACTATGAATATTAGTATCGATCGCACTATCGCTAGTACTATCGATAGTTAACTATCCATAATGCTATCAAGGGTACTATCGCTAGTCAACTATCGATAGTAATATAAAAATCCGACTATCGATAATCAACTATTGATGATACATTCGATAGTCCAATATCGATAGTTTTCAACACCATCTATAGTCTTGGGAAAAAATGTCGATAGTAAATTTTTGATAGTCTTGCATTACTAGAGCACACACATATGCAAAAAAGGCTCACACACGCCCATAAAAAAACATGCATGTAAGGGTTTCAGAACCCTAGATAAAATAAATCAGTTTTTATATTCACATACACCAAAGATGTTCATCGTCATTATGAGCAAAATATATTCGTATATCAATTGCAAATCTCAAAGGACTTTGTAAATTGGGGTCAATTCTATCGATTGCTTTTAGAGATGTTGTAGCAAAATAGAGGCATTCGAAGAAAAAATGTTATACTGCAAATCGAACAAAAATTTTTTAATTTATCTACGAATTTAAATTAAATATTTTTGAGAACTAGTATCTTACTTTTAATATAAATATAAATAAATATAATATAAATACGTAAAAAATGACAACCGTGAATATATTTTTTTTTGTAAACACATCCGTGGAAAGGAACAGTTTCATTACATGAGGAACACATCACTTGGCCCTTAAGAGTTGGGTAAAGTGTAAAATGGCATGGAAAGTAGGACCATGATTAGATTAATTGTGTTTATAGTGCTTGAACATTCCTTTTTAGTGGTACTTTCCTTTAACATCAGAGGTCGAACTGCAATTATAACTGAAGATTACTGATATGACATAAATTTATATTTAATGGTGTTTTTATTTCTGGGCTTTCTACCAATGAATGCACATCTTTCAAAAGTTCCGAGACCATGGATTCAACCGAGATCCCCGGAGACATTGTGCCGTTCATGCTTAACGCGCCGCTGCATAGCAGTGAAGTTCGATGCGCGCACACCGTGCGCAGTGCTGAAGCTTGACACCAGATCACTGATTGTCGCGTTCAAGTTTCACGAGAAGAATAAGAAACGTTTAGAGAAAATTCTAGCCTTTTTAATATGAAAATTGACTACTTTGAGTAGTAAAAGCGTGCTGCGGATATAATCAAGTAGCAAAAGCTGCAAAAACGTTAAAAAAAACATATAGAAGGACGGTCACTGACAGCAGAAGCGGCGCTTATGTCCGTCCTTATATATTTAAGTATTTAATGAATGTTTACATCGTAAAAACAGCAAACCGAACAGGATGCTTCATTTCTGGCAAAATTTCTGACACCAACCTGCGTGAAAACTGACGTGCAGTTAAATACGAAATCGCGATCTTGGCACATTCTGCTGAGTTAGGTGTGCTAACACATTTGGACCCAGAACGCGTTTTAGATGTTTGAGAATTCATTTTTTACCATGACACAAGCCGTCTTTTTGTATATTCCAGAGTATCGCTGAAGCTGTCCTGCCCAATGAACTTCAGAAAATACCCTTTTGACAAACAACAGTGTGAAATAAGAATGGAAAGCTGTAAGTAATATATAAAAGCACACCATACAACATCATTAGAGAGGGTTACTACAAAAAAGTCTGCTCGGTCTTAATATGCTAGCGACATTGGTTGAGATATCAATGATGGCCGACGGTTACTGTCGCGCCTATTATTGGGCAGATTTTATCTACTGTGCACGACGCATATATACCGTACGTGGCATCGGTATTTTCATACGGTTTTTCCCCTTAATTCTAGACCTTACCCTTTATGTTCAAACCGTCTTATGCACAATCTACTACTCAATAGTATAAGTCCATCAACTCATAACAAATAACTACAAAAGGCGATTTAGCATGCTACGACACTATTTTAAACAAAAGTTGGCCTTGGTTGTGCATATGTCGTGCGCAGATATCGAACAAACAACGTGAATGAAGCAAAGGATTATCCTCTAGACCGGCGTAGTGTGAATTCCTTTTCCTTCCAAATGAAAAACAAAAAATTATTGCGGGCTATAAGAACGTTTGACTTAAGTTCCTCAATGTCATGGACCAACGCCTCTTTTCATTGTAGGATTAAAGACGCGTAAATCTAAGTCGGTCCACAAAAAAAAAAAAAATTGGTGTTGCATTTTAAATATAGGACAAGCAGTACGAGGTGCTGATGTGAAAGCTGCATAGCACTTTCTCTATTAGCATTAGTATATATTTCGACTCCTGGCAGCCAATCAGCAGCAGAACCGAAAATGAGCTATGCCAAGGAAGCCGAAGGCGTCGCGTAATAGTAGAGTGACGATATGGTGAATTTGGACGGATGAATGATTAAGGGTAACGAATCCAAATAGGATTGCAATTGAAGGTAAAAAATTATTTTTTAAAGAAACAATATATGCACTTGCGCAACGCACACACCGCAACGGGCTACTTGATTAGACACCTGCCGAGGAAGTGACATAATGCCATCAGGGTCGTGAAAGGTCTCTATGGTGTGCACCTTCTGAACATTTAGCTGTGCATTAAGAGAGATGTGGCTGTTCTCATCTGTTTATTAAAGTGTTTTTCCTCTATCCTACGGATTAGGTAGGTATACACATAATATGTTTGTTTCGCTAGCTTCCCCATCCTTGCCCGGCTCTCTTAGTCTTTTCTATCACGACAAAGCACACGACATGGTCATATGGCATGGCAGAACAGTGACACACTCCCCATCCTTGGCGTAGTAAAGAAACTCTATATAGCTTCAGAAGATTCCCCTTGGCACAGCGATTAATGGGCAAAAAATGGTAGGCACGACAGAAAAATATAACCACTATCCGCAACTTTTCACCGATTGGTACTCACAGAATCGCAGCTACGGCTTACGTACAATGTGGCTAGGCTCCGAAAGGAACTTCGCTTCCTGGGAGTATTGATCACTATGCTTAAAAGAGGCTGTAGTTGTCGGGTCTTAACTTTTGTATAATGAAATGAGGTTTATGTAGCACTACACATTGACATTTTTATTTCAGATGGTCACAGTGCGGAATCCCTTGCCTTTCTTTGGAAAGAAGTGGACCCTGTTCAAGTCACGAGGAGTCTGTATATTCCTGAATACAGGCTTGAGAGGTTTCGGACCGAATACGCCGCCGAAGCGATGTCTACAGGTAAATTCGATTTTATTGGTGTTTTCACGGACTTAGACTTATTTTGTGCGACCATGAAATGCAACATTGCGTGTTACCAGTGGCCTTTTTTTAAGGTTTGTCATCTCTTTTTATTTTTCTAACCACTTGGGCGTTATTCGTAGCTGAAATCCTGAGAGGCCTGGCACACAGGACTGGATTGAAAGTCGGTTACTTCTTTCAGTTTTTGCTTTCCGTACTTTATGCACAAATTATTGTACGATTTTCTGAGTGCTTTTTTACGTAGAAGGTATTTAACGGAGCAGGATGATTTTTGGAAATAGTTCAGAAAAGATCCGGGATTACATATGACTGGAAATTAGCATGGTTTTAATGAAGAACCCCATTATGACTGCGTTAATAACATGGTTTGAATGAAGAACCGCAAGAACGACAGAAGCGATTCGAGCAAACAAAATAATCTGCGAAAGAAGGGAATTTAAGCCTAAAATTCAGAATGTTTACTCACCAAACATTGTCTTGAATATTAGCATTTTAAGTATCGTTGTTCGGCCACATAGCGGCAGCTAAATGTTTTATAGAAAACACAGGCTTCTTGTCACCAGCTGTTCCTGTTAATAACAGTGCTATTCGTTTTTTAGAAACCGCGAAACGTCCGATGTTGTTTCTTTTTTTTTTCTTTTGTAGAGAATGTTTTACCATCGCCCAGAGTCAACATCTAAAACAACGAAGTAGGTTTTTGGCTATTTCGACAACATTTGATAAATAATCAGTGATTGATTTTGCAGATTTCTAAATTAGGCTGTCACAAAGTTTCTATCAGATCCACTGTGCACAATTTCACAGCCTCGTCTGAGAGAGCCTATAAATTAGTACTTAGAGCATACTTGAAGGAATGTGTATTGTGACATGTGGAACATAACAACGTTATGTTCCACGTGTCTTCATACCAACTAGCCCAGCTCACCACCCTTTTAGGGTGTATTGTGACTTAGTTCAGATTTCTATTGCACGTAGCAAAACAAAGTGCGAAGTAAAATGTCGTAATTGTCGTCTATAGTCCTCCATAGACCTTGTTGCCTAAATGCTCAAGCATCAAGAAAAATGCTGAAAACGTAGGTACACGCGCTGCACGTGCTCGCCTTTTTCTTTTTTGGATAAAAAATCCGAAATAAATAGCCAAGATAAGGTTCTAAGAAATGATAAAAACACAGCCAAGCTGGTAAAGAACTTCCATAGTATTCAAAAACACACAACGATAAAAAAAACGGACAAAACGACAAGTCTCTTGTAATTGTATTGTGCGTCTTTTTTATTGTTCCATGTCTCCGGTTACTACGTAAAATAAGGCGTTCATGAACCCAAGGGCGAATTTCGAATAGTTTTGGATTTTTTTATTAGAACAGTTAGTGATGCAGACGTCAGTACGCGCAGGACTTGAAACTGCACTCGCTCTCGCTGCTTGGTGATTGGGTAATTTAGAGAAAAATATATTTGTGGACCAGTTACATGACATCTTTTCTAGCGCCAACCTCCCCGATAAACATATGTATAGGTGCAAAAAGCGTCCCATAATGATGATCTTGTGCTTGCTCGTCGAGCGGAAGAAATTCTGAATAGGGGAATTCCGAATCCAATGCAATAACATTAAGCGAACTACAAGGACGCAGACAGCGATAATTCTGTCATATTGGTATGCGATATCTTTCGAGTCTGGGACTCGTAAGGTCGTAACTTGTCCACGCCAGCGGCGTAGCCAAGGGGAAAACTTGTAAAAACTTCAAACCTCCTGCCCCCCTCCCAGCCCCCCCCCCCCCCAAACAAAATAAAAAAATCGAGCCGATCTTTTTTATACATATTCATTTTAACCCCCCGCCCCCCTCCTAGAAAATAATTCATGGCTACGCCACAGGTACACGCTAATTTCACTAAAAGAAATCTCACATTTTGTTGCATTCTATACCTAAAGCTTGGTGATAGAAGGAATAAGGACGATTTTTTCTTCCAGTGTACACTTCCTGGATTTCAGGTATGAGAACTAGGGATATCTTGAAGCAGAATAAAACTGATTCGCATTAATCTTGCACTTTTTTCAATCATTTGTATTCTCATAATGTGGCGGAAAAATTTATATTGTGCTAGTTTCACTCCCTGGCCACCTTGAGTCTTGCCATTATATAGTTGGCTCAGCAATGTTCTGCTCATGTTTACATATCTAAGATTTCTTTTTGTCATATAATCTCACTGGTGGCCCTATACAAACGAATCAACAGCAAATATTGCGACGTCGCAGGTAACTACTCATGCCTCAAGGTCATCTTCGATTTCCAAAGGGAAAGCAGCAACGCCATTGTTCGGGTGTACATTCCCTGCATCATGATGGTCATCTTGTCCTGGGTTCCACTATGGCTGAACAACAAGTCCAGCTTCATGAGGGTGATCGTTCCCTTTCTAATACTTATGGTATTCGCGAATGCCATCAGCCAGTTCAACAATAACGAAGCTCCTAAGACATCATACACAAAGGCCGTGGACGTCTGGACCGGGATATGCTTGACGTACGCTTTTGCTGTGGTCGTATACGTGACGATCCTGGACTACCTGATACGACATGGGGGTAGTGACGGTCAGAGTGAAACTCCCACACCGGAGGTCGGCGGAAAAGTGAGTAATTATAATAAGGGCAGCAATGTTCTTTTCCAAAAGCATTCGAACACATTGACATTTTTATGTAAAGTGCGTACAGCTTTTCTTCGGACTTGCGGATACAAGTTATTCCTCCCAAGTGTAACAGATTTGTTTCTGTCTGAAGTAAAATTTTTATTAGCGGTTTTGCTGGCGCAGAATATACTTACTTTAACTGATTACTTTTCTCTAGGAAACACCTCTTTTCTAAGGAAAAGGAAGGAAAAGATGAAAACCGTTTACAAAAGACATTTTGCGAAAACCACCAAGCGCCCCGGCCCGCGCGCGAGGAATTGTGGGAGAGACTGTCCCTCGCCTGCCGCTCTTCCTAGAGTCGCATGGCCTTGTCGCTTGCCCCCTCTGAATCCACCGTTTTTCGATTCCATTACCTATTTTTATCTATTCCAGTGTAATTTCTTATTGTTTCTAAGTGTTTCTATTCTCTTCTGCGCGCGATATTTCTTGTATATATACAGTATTTGTGTCTTTATTTTGCCTTTTTCGACGGCAGTTCCGACGGACAACACGCCGCTTCGCGCGTCGTTCCCGAGGTGAGTACAACCGTTGCTACCGCTTCCTATAACGCTGTTAGCTGCTCATTTTGGCTCATTTGACCTGCGTGCAGTCGAGAGGAGCCGTTTATGAACACCCGCGCACATAGGGGTAGGCAGAGCTCTGAATGAACAATCGCGACGCGAGAGCCGAGTGCGCTGTGATCTGGCCGCCCGCGCTCGCTCCGTTGACTCACACTGTACCGTATGCCTTCGAGTTTATTACTTGACCAAGATACAGCACGCCGCTTTGTCGCCGCGAACCATTTGTACGAATGTTTGCGAAGCTGAGGCATATGCAACGCTGCGGCGCCTGACAACTGCGCGCTGCGGCGCGATCCCTTCGCAAACGCCGACGTCTCGATATCGCGGCTTGAATGCGCCTATGGCATGCCTTCGTCATCTTTCTGCTAAGCGGTTGTCAGTTTCCAACGCCCTTTTTCAAGTGAAGAGGTGTGTTGCCGCGAATCACTTGTCCGAATGGCTGCGAGGCCGTAACACCGTTCGTCATAACCAACGTGCGGTGCCTGACGAAGTGCGCGCAGCGGCGCGAGCCCTTCGAAAGTGCCGGTGGCCCAACGTCATGGCTTGTATGCGCTTATGGTATGCCTTCTTAATCTATCTGATAAGCGGTTGTCAGTTGCAAACACACTTTTTCAAGTGCGGAGATGTGCTGTCACCCAGGCTCATCTTGAAACTCGTAGTTCCTTCGATAATTTTATTTTTCGATCCAAGATGTCAGCTGATGCTCTAGTCAAGATGTCAGCAGCTGACAACCACCGAGCAGACTGATCATGAATGCACGCCAAAGGCGCATACAAGCCGCGACGTTGAACCGTCGGCGCTTGCTAAGGGCTCGAGTCGCTGCGTGCAGTTGTCAGGCGCCGCAACGTTGGATCTGCCGAACGGTGTTACGGTTTCGCAGGCATTCAGACAAACGATTCGCGAAAACAAAGCGGCGTGCTGTATCCTGGTAAAGTAAGCGGCACTCGAAGGCATACGCTACAGTGCGAGTGAACGGAGCGAGCGCGGGCGGCCATATGACTGCGCACTTGGCTCTTGCGTCACGATTGTTGATTCAGAGCTCTGTCTACCCCTATGACATGTTCGCGGGTCTTCATAAACAGCTCCCCTCGACTGCACGCGGGTCAAATGAACCAAATTTAGCAGCTAACAGCGCGATAGGAATCGGTAGCAACGGTAGTACTCACCCCGGGCACGACTCGCGAAGCGGCGTGTCGAAAATGGCAAAATAAAGACACATATATATATAAACAAAAAAATATCGCACACGGAAGAGAATAGAAACACTTAGGAGCAATAAAATACATTGGAATAGATAACAATAGGTAATGGAGTTGAAAAAGTGAAACCCGCTTACAACTCCCTGTAACGCCGAATTAGAGCGCAGCTCTCGAGGAGGAGGAGGGAAGGGCACTGGGGGGGGGGTTAAACTAACCGGGGGGGGGGGGGTCGCGTGACCTTGGGGGTCACGTGACCCCCAATGCCGATGATGTCACCACTGACGTCACTGATGACGTCATCAGTGACGATGACGATGCGGGTACCGATGACGTCATTAGTGACGTCACTGATGACTTCACCAGTGATGATGACGATGACGATGCGAATGTCGGTGACGTCATCAGTGACGTCGCTGATGACGTCATCAGTGAGGATGACGATGACGATGCGAATGTCGGTGACGTCATCAGTGACGTCGCTGATGACGTCATCAGTGATGATGAAGATGACGATGCGGATGCCGGTGACGACATCAGTGACGTCACTGATGACGTCATCAGTGATGATGACGATGACGATGGGGATGTCGGTAACGTCATCAGTGATGATGACGATGACGATGCGGATGCCGGTGACGTCATCAGTGATGATGACGATGACGATGTGGATGCCGGTGACGTCACCAGTGATGATGACGATGACGATGCGGATGCCGGTGACGTCATCAGTGATGATGACGATGACGATGTGAATGCCGGTGACGTCATCAGTGATGATGACGATGACGATGTGGATGCCGGTGACGTCATCAGTGACGATGACATCATCGGGGGGTCACGCGACATCGGCGGGGGTCACGTGACCTCGAGGAGGGGGTCACGTGACTTCAGGGGAGTCACGTGACTTCGGGGGGTCACGTGACCTCGGGGGGGTCACGTGCGCCCCACGAGGTCACGTGACCCCGGTGGGCGGCTCGCGCGGTGCATTATGGGACATTTCCTATGATGCACCGCGCGGTTACGCCGACGGCGACGGCGACGGCGACGCCGACGCCGCTCAAGCCGGAAGTGGGCCCCTAAGAGCTGCGCTCTAAAAACAGATGATTAAGAGGAGGCAAGTGACAAGACATTGCGATTTCAAGCCAGAGCAGCCAGGCGAGGGCAGTCTCTCCCACAATACCGCGCGCGGGCCGGGGCGCTTGGGAAAATTGCAAATCGTCTATTCCCTGTAACGCCGAATTAGAGCGCAGCTCTTGAGGAGGAGGAGGGAAGGGTACTCAAAGGAGGGTATACCCACCTTCTCTCCTCCTCACCTACTCATCCTGTCTGCTACTCCTTCCTCCGAGCAACGTCGCCATCGGCTCAGGAAGGTCACGTGACCTCACGGGGGTCACGTGACCCTGAGAGGTGACATGACGATGACGTCATTACTATGACGTCATCGTCGTCGTGATTACGTCATTATGATGACTTCACGCAAGGTCCTCGTGATGACGTCATTGTAATCGTCATCGTCATCATCACTGATGACGTCATCAGTGACGTCACTGATGACGTCATCGGCATCGTCATTGGCATCGTCACTGATGACGTCATCAGTGACGTCACGCGTCCCATAATGCACCGCGCGGTTACGCCGACGGCGACGGCGACGCCGCTCAAGCCGGAAACAGGCGCCTAAGAGCTGCGCTCTAAAAAAATGAAAGACGTTTTCCAACTCCCTGTAATGCCGAATCAGAGCTCTTGAGGAGGAAAAGGGAAGAGTACGGAAAGGAGGGTATTCCCCTCCTCCTCAGTACCCTCTCCTCCTCCTGCCCCTCCCCTCCTCCTCCTGCCTCTCCTCCTTCCTGTGCCCCCCTCCCTCCCCTTCGCTTCTCCTCCTCATCTCATTCTCCTCCCCTCCTCCTCCCCTTCTTCTCCCGCTCCCTCAGTGCCCCTCGTGACGTCACTCGTAAAGGCCTCGTGAAGGTCGTGACCTTCTCGTGACCTTCAAGACCTTCACTGTGACTCGTGGCCCTCGGGACGTCACCGTGGGACGCCGTTTAGGGAAACGCCCTATGATCCAACGCGCGAGTCACTCGTGACCTGCGCGTAGCGTCATGGGACGTTTCCCATAGTGCAACACGCGGGACCCACTTGACGTCACACGTGACGTCACGTGTGACGTCTTTATCACAAACGCCTCATAATGGAACGTGCGGGTCACGAGTGTGACCCGCGCGTTGGTTTATGGGACGTTTCCCATAATGGAACGCGCGGTTGCACCGACGGCGACGGCGACGCCGCTCAAGCCGGAAATGGGCGCCTGATGGTACGTTTACACTTGCGGATCCGCCAATGAATCCGCCCAGCTCTTGCCGCTGGGGCGAAACGCTGGGCGGAAAACGCGGCGGCGAGCCGTTTAGGTCCGGTATCTATTTCTGCCGCCGAACGAGGCGTTTCGCTGACCGGATGTGACATTCTTGCGCAGCGCGACGCTGTCTACGTCATGAGTAGTCGTTTTTCCGGGTGCTGCACCGCCCGGGATTGGCCGGGAGACAGTCAAGGTGGGAACTCTCGCGCCTCCTCGTCATTTTTGACGGGATATTACGAGAACAGCTGCCGCAGCCGGCGCCGCCGCCGCCGCTCGAAGGAAATAGATGTAAACTCAACCCGCTCGTCGCCGCCGCCACCGTGAGCGGATCCGCTCCCGCGGCAGCGGATTTCTTCTCAGGTGTAAACGTACCATAAGAGCTGCGCTTTCAAAAAAAAAAAAACGTAAGACAAGGCGCCACAGACAAAAAATGTGCTTATAGAATCCCCTATCTGAGGTGTTTCGTGGTTCCCAACAACACGCTCATTAGTTTCCTTATACTTCTTTAAATTGTACCTATTGTTGTATTTTTTTAGTAAGGCCGACTTTCGTTAATAGATTGATTATGGGAGGCATACATATATATAAGGCCCTCGCAGTTTTTTTTTTATAGTGTTATAGTGTTCAAGTGAAAAGTTTCTAGAATTATGTATAGCTTTCTTGACAGTTAGGTTAAAACTGCTGAAATGTAATTATTATTATTTTGTAATTTAAATACACCCCATAGCTAAATTTCAATTGTTGCTTTAATTTTTTTTTTTTTTTTTTTTTTTACAGCTTGAAGCGGTGGAGGTAGTAGATGAAAGTGCTTCTGCTACTCCTTCGAAGTCACCGGGTTTGCCCGAAAGAGTAAAGTCATGGATACAGCGCAAGAGAACAAAAACCGACGAGGCCGACATCATCGCTCGAATAGTTTTTCCAGCATTGTTTGTGTTGTTCCTGATAATCTATTTTTGCACTTTCACGTAGGACAACATTCGTCCTCCATTTGGGAGTACGAAGGATACAAGATAGGATTTAGCTAAGCAGCCTGACTAACATGCAGCTGGACAGATAAAAGCCGGTTCACACATACGGCGCATCGCTAAATCAACACTATAGAGAGTGCCGATTCTGCGTTGACGTGAGCGTGCCCTAGGATTGATTCAGCCCTGCATCAGCGTTTTATGACTAATACAGCCCAAAGTCAGCGCTGAATAGGCGAGATGAGTGCTACTCTCAGCGGTGACTAATATCGCTGAGGTAGCGCTGCGATGTATTGTGAACAGGTTTTTAAAAATACCCTTTTAATTTAATGAATTTTTAAATTCTGCCCTGTCTGAGTTATCCCTGATATTGGTGTATTCGTTGAGTCGCGTGGAATATTCTACTGCAATAAAGTGTTTCCTTTTAAATCCTAACATATGAGTGTGAAAACCAGGGATTTATGCACCCCCCCCCCCCCCCAACACCGCCCCCCCCCCCCCCCGCACCTCTACGTAAATAGCGACCGTGCACCTCCCCTTTTTCTCCCCTTCCATTTCTTTTTCCATTTTAGTCCAGGGGTGTAGTGTCTTCATACCTTCTAATAACGAGTCCACCACCTCCGGGCATCTCAGCAGTAAATCACAGCGGGACAAGTTGAGAAGCTAATTTATATAGTCACTTCCAAAAACCAACGAAACATCTTGAGAAAAGAGCTGCAATCTTAAATTGAGGCAAGCCAGAGAATATAGCTTTGTGAGCCTTCTGAAAACGTTACTGACGGCGAGGCACGCAGCAGAACTCTCGACGCCGCACTCTTAAAAAAAAAAGGGCATCGATAGTCCTCCCTAAGGGAAGGAACGGTTTTCTAACCTATATATCTTTAGAACGGGAGAAACTTTCGTCTCTGAAGCAGGGGAGCAAAGTTCCTCCGTCACCTGCATCTCATTATGACGGCCCCGAATCGAGCAAATCGAGCTCAATAAGGCTTAACGAGGACGTTGCGTCTCTTGTACGGGACGAAAGGAGCAGAAAATAAAAGCGTAACGCGAGCTTTCCGCGAACTGTGTTTATTTCCGAAGCCAGATTCCCCCCGCAGCTACAGAAATTGCGTTTCAAAAGCAGTTACTCAGTCTTCTCGTCCTCAGCACTGCGATGTTCAACGGAGACAACCGATACCCAGTTACTTCGCGCACTTTACGTCTTACCTTTGCTGTTCCTTGAGTCGCAATTTCCTTGTCAATCACGGAGGAATGGCGCTCTCAAAGCCGCTCTCAAAAGAAGGAACTCGAAGCCGCTGTTCATCGCGTAGCGTGAATGAAGGTTAGATCGCTTGCTACCAGATGACACGGTCAAGCAGAGTAATTGCCAGTAGCTAGGATAGATGGCGTTAGGTACCGCCCAGTGCATGTTCTACCATTTTTTTTTATTTCCTCACGCCACCATTGCGCATCGGAATCTTCGGGATCCTCTATTATACACACATGTAGACACATTACGAACACTACAAGCACAAGCTGCATTGAGCGCATACATATACTTGGCACATACAAACATTCATACAACCGCACACTAACGCGATCACTACACCCGAGCTCTGCGTTCCCGTCTTTTATACTGGTCGTTTTGAACGTCTGGAAATTCGCGTGACTGCCTAAGCAATAAAAACTATTCCCAGCATGTTGATTTTTTTTTTTTTTTTCAGCAATGTCATACCTCCGAGAGTATTTTGAATGGCTCACGGGATAACTCTCTAAATAAAAAGAAAACGCTGGATCTTGCCGTAATTATTTAAAAGCCAATAAATCAAGCCACTTCAATCCGGTTCCAAGCCATGACTTTGTTTCCGCACGGCACGTCGTAGCGAGTATTTCTATTGTAGTGTTTGTTTTTCTATCTGTGCTGTTCGCGCACGGCTGCGATTGCCGTCTTGAATTAATCTCTGTAGAGTGGGTATTCACGCAGCTGGGCGTCGTCTAGTGTTTCTCGTCTTTTCAATACAAGAAGTTTGTCATTTTTATTCATATTCAACTTCGACATAATTAACCCTAAATTACAAATAAATCTTTTTCGAGAGAAGTTCGAAATTTTGTATTTAGACCGAGGTTCGGTCTGTAGATGGTTTCAGTGTTATCAAGGTCCACATATATGTACACACAGTGCTCATGAAACTTGCACGGAACAAGCAAAATGTGGCATATCTCGTGTGAATGCCACTCTGTCGGCAGGCGAAGAATGGCACCCTGACGGTAGCGAGCAATGGAACAGTCCAAGCAGACATGAGGCCGCCCCGCTCGCCCAAAGGCGAAATCACTGCTGGCTTGTGGACACTGCAGTCATTTGACGGACCTGCCGATCTACACTTCTTTTTTCATTTTTTCTTATGAAAGAGCATCAGTGACGGTAAAGACTCCAGTGATTGAATGGCTCGGTCAGTAGGCATTTCCGTCAAGCGGGAAATCTATGCCTTTTGCCACACAATTGTCGGAACCACAAAACGTGTCCTGGGTGTAGACGGTAAAATTTTTGCAAGATATAGATATTTTGTCCTTAGACGTGCCACCAATCAACACAGTCTCGTTCTGGTTACATACACGATACGTATTAATATAAAAATCATAACCATTCATAAAATGAAAATTGGTAGCACACATTTTTAATCGCGCTTTGTTTTTAGTTTTTGGCCGTTTAGTTTAGCGCCAAACGGAATCACAAAATTAAAACATTCCTTCCACATTTAGGTTACAAAAGAAAATACATATAAAACAGTTCAAGTATTTTTAATATTGATTTATTAATATAGACTTTATAGTATCAAGAAAAAAGTCCCATTTTGGTACATAAATATCATACACTCTTAGAAAAAAAGGAGTCCAAAGGGAGTCACTGCTTCCACGACTCTCTTTGACACTTAAGGACTCTCTTAGAGAGTCAATTTTTCGTGTGACTCTGTTTTGACTCTTCCCCTTCTCAATGGGAGTCACAGGTCAGCAGCATTTGCCCTACCGAAAAAAAAAGTATGAATGCTGCTTCGCGGCGTCCATCCGGCAACCCAAGCCCCGCCGTTTCCCTATGCACCTCTAGAAAGGGAGTCCGACACCATTTAGTTCAAAGCTTTGTCGACATTTTATTTTCAATAATTGTGCAAAAAAAAAAAAATTAAAAAGGAAAGGAAAAAAAAACAATGCACAAAGTTTCGTCGACATTCATTTTTCTCAAGAATAATTGTAAAAAAAGAACAAAAAAAAAAAACGTATGTTTATTTTTTGCATCGAACCTGGGTTCGCTCCGTAAGAAGCGGGCACCTTTCCACATAGCTACACCTGCGAGTACTCGTTTTGAGAATTCGTTTTATACGAGATTCAACAAGTTTCGCGTCGTGCACATTATTCGAAACCGAATAATGCGTCTGCATTCTACATATTTCTAGAACTGTCGTGGGGTGCGTGTCTGGGAGCGAGTGAAGGTGCAGCAGCTTATTCAAGACTATACTCCGTTTCATACGTAGCATGCAACGCAGTCAAAGCTAGCGCACCGGTTTGCATCGCCGACCGTGTCCACGTTCACCCCATAAAATAGTGCGTCCCCTGCGAAAACACTTATAAAAAAGTCGAAAAAGGTGCCTCCTTGGATCTAGAAACTGATAGTGGTGTTATGATTTCGACGGAGCACAAATTTTTTTCAATAAAAAGAAAAAGATAATGTAAACTACTTTAAATTGTTTTCGTTTTCGTCCGTGCGGCAGCAGCTGCGGGTTTTCGGGTTGTGTGGCACTGGCTGGTTTTGAGAAGATAGCGTCTTACGCAACAAGCTCAAGTACCTCTCCTGCTCGGATATTTTCAAAGATTCGTTGTGCGCAGACCTTGAAAGAGTGCAAGCAGGTGATCGCCAACGTGTACGCGAGTACAAGAACGCGTTTCCCGGAGAAGTCGGTCGTGAAGTCCTGGAGACGGTCAGCAACAACACCGGAGTGTGCGCCCGTACTGTCGCGAAGTACAAGGCGCAGTGTCTATCTGGAAAGCTGGCGTCCCCGAAGCGAAGACCTCGCCATGTAGAAGTTTCGAGCACGGGGACTGTCAAGCATGCCGAATTCACACACAACGCCATTCGCCTCAAGGTGCATCGCAAGCACCCCGAGAGGGGGATTTCTACCCTTGACAGCTATTTCAAAATAAGCTGTTCAGGCCACAACTATTGTCGATTGACGTCCTATTATAAATTTTGGGGCAAGGCTGCTATCAGTGAGATTCCTCATTCCACGCTGCACGAAAAAAATATTTAACTCGGTGCTGCAGGCAAATAACACTTGCAAAGCGGCAGAGCAGATGGTAGAAATGTGGCCTCTCGGCGACTTACAAATAAATAGCAAGAAGAAAGGAGGAATCGAAATATGCAGTTCGGCAATGCGCACAATCTTGCACAAAAAATGGCTAAAAAAAAAAAAAAAAACTGCGCGTCCAGTGGGTTTGAACCACTGCCGCCGAGACGTCGGTATCGCCAGAGCAGCCCTACCACTCGTCCACGAAACGCGCCCAGGAACACATTTTTTTTTTCTGTATTTTCATGCGCACCACTTCAGTACCTTTGACAGCTTTGCACGCTATGTATGAAAATGGTTATAAGTGCCCATTTTGAGAACCACACCACCACACTGCGAGTTGAAGCAACGCCGAAGGCTCACGTCTCGCAGCGCCGCCTGTTGAATAACCATTAGAAGAGTTTGCGCACTGTGAAAAGGTAAGAGCGCTCACACCGAAGAGCTCTCTTTACAACGCCTACACACACACAGAGAGCTTTTTAAGAGCCACTGATTGTAGCAATCGCATTCCGAAGACGCCGCGTTGTCGTAGATTGTTTTTCACCAGCTAGGTCCTATAGGGATGAGGCCAAGGCCAAGGCTGGGGGATTCATCGCCGGAAACGTAAAGGAACCAAGCAAACGACGTGAGGCTCGCGGAAGCGGTTCGTGGGAGCCGACGACGCCCAAGCCACGATCCAAGCAGCCCTAGTAGCAGCCTTGCTTCCGAGAAGACTGTATATTCTTTCCGGCGGGCACACAATACTCCGACAGCATGCTTGCGGCTGATGTGGATTGCAGGAGGTGGCTAACAGGACGACCAATGCACAGAAAATAGGTTGAGCACAACACAGTACGCAACGATTGTCGCCGCCATGTTGAAATAAAACCAAGCTGCGGCAGGCCAAGCTACAGTTTAGTATACGACGAAGCTGAGACAGGCCAAGGTTCAGTTTAGTACACAACCAACATACTTCATTACAAAGAATT